AGCGTTGCTCTATCAATTGAATCAAAGGCAGCCGCAAAATCGATGAAACACGTGACAGTGGGTTGCAAATATCTGAAGCGATTTTGCAACACTCTTTTTAACGTGAATATCTGGTCAGTACAACCGCGCCCCGGTCTGAATACGGCTTGATTAGGGCGCATCCTGCTGTCTCGTATTTCCATAAGTCTGTTGAGTAGCAGGGAAACAAAAATTTTTGCTGAGACGTCTAGTAGGCTGATTTCTCGATAATTGTCGCAGTATGTCCTATCATCTTCCTTGAGAATTGGGAGCAGAATTGCTTTGTTTTAATCATCTTTTTCCCATAATAGAAAGTGCATTCATTGAAGGTGAATTATAAACAATGATGGACAACATTTGAAGAGTTCAGCCCAAAAACCATCTTCTTTCGGTCTTATTGGCTTAAAGCTTATGGATAACGGAGATTATTTCTTCTCCTATTGGCGGCTCATAATTGCAATCATATGGTTCATCGGAACGTATTAGATATGGCCGGGTCAAGAATGGCACATCATGGTTAAGTTAGACCTCAAAGAATTCCTTATATCTTATGATACGATCTTTAATACTCCTAACAGGAACATCATTGCTGTCCCTTACCATTTCGCTGATTGTTCCCCGAGTTATAGTTATAGATGCTTTCAAATCTTCGAAGTATCAGATCACCTGACATTCGCGCTTTGGGAGCTTTTTCAGACGATTAGACTGTTGCTTCCGACACCCAACTCGTGCATTTCCTACTACTATGTCCTAGCGAGGAAGTGGTTGATTTTCAGAGATATTCTTTTAGTTTGGACCATTTTTCATTCACCGTTCCAGAAAAGCCATTAATATTTATATGCTTCACTAATTCAGTTCAGTTAATTCAGTTTGAAATGCACAATGTCCTCGAATTTTTTAGTTTGAAATATTTGAAGGATCTTGGAAGATGCTATTTTCTATGAGTTGTTAATTTTATGCGGATCTTGACTCGAACCATAACATGGTCAGATCCATGAAGATTGCCCGTTTCAGCGCCGCGGTAGGAACGACTATCAAATACGGAACTCTTCCAACTGACTAAGATGCAATCAATCTTCCACTAGATATTTTCTACGATGCAAGCATTAGTAAAAAAAGTTCATGTTCTCCAGCATAATGAAAAAGGCGTTCTCTATTGGCACACCGGTCTCTGATGCCATATTTGCCAATTATCGAGGTCATCGCAGTGGCATTATAGTCTACGCGCGCATTCCGGTTTCCTCCGATTATAACCATATCATATTTCGATTAAGACTTTGTTAGCAGTTGAAGTTTTGCACAGAACTTATCTTGATCACGGTCATCTCACGATAGGGTTGGAGCATAGACACTGATGACTGAGACATTGCAGAAATTACCTTTAAAATGGCATAGGCCATACGGTCGCTTACCGGTTCCCACTCAATCAATACGGAATGTGCCTTTTCAGATATAATAGCTACGCCATTTCGCCTTAAGTTATCCAGAGCATCACAGTGGTATAGCCAGTACTTCTGCTCCGAGCCAGAATTATTAATTACTGGAAACCCGAAATGAGGAAGACGGACCTTCTACAAGTAAACTATATCCACACGATATTTAGAAAGGGTGTGGAGAGTGATCGCTTGACTTGTCCATAAGCCTTTTGACTTCCAAGCTGATAGGGCTAATACCTCACCGCGCGTGCTGATCCTCTTGAAACCTTTCGAACAAATGCCCTGACTTGCGAGCATATTTTATTTACGAAGCTTGGGATCGTTTTACGCCCGGATTGTATACTTATCTCATTTAACACCAGGCTGGGAGTATCATGCGCGTCGGACGCCGTATCAAGTATATCTGACCATTTCACCATAGAGACACTTGGAGATAGAGTTACAGGTGGATCCCCAGCAATCACCTGGATTTTTGACACGACAAGACAGGTTTACTCCTGTCAAAGATAGACAAATATTTTATGTTTATTTTATAATATTATTAATTTTATGTATATATATTTATTTTGTTCTTTATTTTTAAATTTTTAAATTATTATTAGAAAAAGAAAAAAAAGGAAAAAAATTTAGTATTTAGTATTATATAGTATAAATTTAGTAAAATTTCTCATAATAGTTTTTTTTTACAGAAATTCTAGAAAAGATATTCTGAAAAAAAAATTAAGCGGAATGACAATACAATCGCTACAAGATACAATACTGTAAGATCAAATCAAATATCAAATCAATCATTAAAGATATTGGCTATATGTGGTATTTGATAACTCGGGGCAAAATGGCTTAGTGGTTGTCATATCTGAAAAAGCTCTGGCTGAGTGTAAGCCAGTAAATGATAGTATGGCCTACATGAAAATTCTGCAATATTGCGGTCATCAGTGTATACGCTCCAAATTTATGAAAAGATAATCACGATAAGGATAACTTCTATGCAGAACTTCAACTAGCAACAATATCTTTTTACAACATCGTTTAATATTTTCATCTTATGTACAAGAAGCTGATAAAACGCCTATTTTAATCAATTCATTGCCAGTTGAAAAAGTGGCCAACTTTAAATATCTTGGATCCACTGTACTCCCAAATGGCACAGAATGAAATTAAAACCCGGATAATGACAGACAGACAGAAATATGCTTTTCCGGTTGACGGAACCTTTAAGAAACCATTGCGAAATCACCATAAAGACGAAAATCCGAATCTATGTAGCCATGACTCGTTCGATCTTGCTATATGATGCTAGGCATGGCCAATGAGAACGGAGGATATTAAGAAGTTATCAGTCTTTGACCATTCATATCTAAGGTACATTACAGGCGAATCGATAAAACCTCTATCGCATCATTCTTCGTTCAAATACCACTTACATTAACAGTATGCCATCAGAGAGCGTCGGCTTCGCTGGTTAAGACACTTTCTTCATCGCTCACCACAAGAGTTGACATACATTTCATTACTTACCAAATCCTGTGATAGTTGGCTTCAGAAGTTAAGACCAATCAAGACCTTAACACCTTAACACGGTTAGAAAAGACTTTGCAGATTTACAGCTTGGAAACGTCTTAAGCCTGTAGTCAATGAAGACAGCTTAACCAGTGATGATGAAGGCTGTTAGAAGAAGAAGAATTGGTTCAGTTATTGATTAGTACCATCTTATTATCGTCTTAACACTGGGAATATCGAGGGGCAAGAATCGCAGAACTTTATACTAGCTTGATCTTAGTCAAAGCAATATAACTCGAGCACTTTGTCCTCATTGTCTTCCTAACAAAGTTAAATTCAGGGAATAAATTTTTGCGCTTTCGCCATTGGCGAAAGTAACGGACTATTATCTATAGGGTTCGGTTAACATCTAAAACGAAAAGAGATTAGAATAACCTCTATTTCCGCTCATATTCTCTTTTGAGATGGCCTAATAACTGGTTAAAAAAAATTTTCGTAAACTTTTCTTCTCTTCGTTTTAGGTCGACGTATTGCATTTGGCCATTTTTATCTTTGTTTATTTCAAGCCAAATTTTAAATCACTGTGAAGTGCTGTGGAGTGTATTGTGACCATAAATTATATCATTTCTCAAATACTTATTGCATTATAAGAACACAGTGTCCATCCACCCAAAGTGCTCATGTTAATGAGTAATTTGTTCACTGAGATAGGTATTTATTCATTATCGTGACTATAGCTCCTTTTTGCTCCTATTTGTGAATGGTTAGCGCTGCATTTCTGGTTTGCTTTGTTCACGCTACTAGCTATTAGTGGGAAATTTTTGCCACTTGATTATAAATATATGGGTAAGTCGCCAGAACTGCCATTTTTTTAATGATACATTATTCCTATCACGAACGGAGTAGAGTTTGAAGGTTGGTGCTTGATGCGATAATCCGAATAGTAATCCCTCTGCTATCCTTGGGCCCTGAATTATAAGCAAAAATTATGCTTATAATTTTGCTTTACTTCTTCATTTTTTCTTAGAATTTCGCATGAAATATTTCAGCATTTCGGTCTCGTCTCTCTCAATTCAAAATCAATTTATCTCATAGGATAACAGAATTTCAACGACCATTATTTTCTTAAATTTTTCAGATTCGACTATTTATCTATTCACAATATCAATATTATCATTCTAGATTTTCAGAATAAATTGCTTTGATAGTTGTTTCTTCATTTGTTAATTTTTTGTTGCATTATTCAAGTGTCTTCTAAGTGTTATTGTCCAGTTACTGGTTAACTAGCGATTATCGCGGTGGTGTTAATTTTGTAAAGATTGCTGAACCAATGGCCAATTAAATAGCGATTTCTGAAAAGTATAATTCAGCGGAAATGGTCTAAAATGATCAGTCAACAACCCGCGAATATATTCAGAATCTTTGATTGTGTCCATAAAAGAAGTAATGGATTAAAGGTAGAAGATAGAGTAATTCTAGTCCGAAAACGTCAAAATTTATGACACTATTATAATGCAATTTTCCGCTAATCCAACTGCGTTTATCGACATTTGAGTTACCTCAAATTTTATATATTTAGATTAGAACTGCGAATAATTGCTATAGCATTCCTGCTTTGATCTTATAATAATTTTCCAAATACTTCGCTCATTCAAATGAATAAATGAATATCTTTTTTTTGCGATATTATCCACAATTTTTCTCAATCTTAAGAGACAGAAATATGTAAACTAATGACTAATATGACTAATTTATGAGTGAGGCTGATTAGATTAAAATAACCTCACTGGTACAATTATAGGATTTGAAAACGCTTGGCTCATGAGCTGTTCAATCTGTTTAAAATTAATCCACAGCCCGCTTAGAGTGCTCCTTTTCGTCTTCATTCATTCATAAAAAGCAATTTTTCTTCATTCATAAATATATTCATAAAAAGCAGTTGAAATGTAATCGATCAAATGAATAAATTTTGCGTCGAAAGCATGAAAGTGCGAAAGAATTCTGGAAAATTTTTTTTTGAGATTTTCGCAAGCTTCACAGTTTTACATGACATCTGAACAAATATTCGTTTGCATGAGTTGCTTATATCGATCACCTATGTCTCAGAAGCCGTCGTTATAATACACCTTTTTCTTAATAAATCTTTTTTTAAAAAATTAAAAATTCTACGAATTCAGATATTTTTTCATTCATCTTCATCAATCGATATGCTTTTGTGGTTCACGCTGGTTTGTAGTTCGACACTTATTGTTCCTGGTAAATCTATTTGTCCACAAAAATTATCCGAAGGAAATTTTTTTCTAAGCTTTTAACCTTACGATATTCCATAAGTTTAATATTCCATATTAATATTACATCAGTATTGATATTCCATTAATACTATTCCATTGATATAAGGCATAAATTGATGCTTTCTTCAAACTTTATTTATAATGATAATACTATTAGATAACCATTTTCTGAATTAAAATTGTTTTAAGAAGCTCAAATATATTATATATCCTTATTATAGAAATGTTCGAAGTAAGAATCCATGAAGATGCGACACCTGGCTCTAAAATGACAATGAACGAGGAACTAGAAAAGCAAGTGATGAGCTTTCGTGATTGCTTTGGTCAAGTGGAAACAAATGTGTCGTGGATAGATTTCGATCCTCAAAAATATATATTTCAAACTCGAGCCAGTGTAAAGAAAAGTATTCATGGCATTGATAAAGGAACACTTCATTTGTTTTGTGCAGCAAACAAAATTTATACATTCAATTTTCAGATTCATATCACCAGGTAAATTTTTTTTATTTCGACAGTGAATTTTTTTAAATCTTATTAAATGAATTTTTTTAAATCTTATTAAATTTGATCAAAATTGATTATTTTTTATTAACGGAAGGGCGGCTGTTTATATAGCTGTTCAGATAATCAAAAGAGCAAAAACTATCATTAAAAAAACCTGGGTGGTGGCAACTTTTGTCAGCAAGTAATTGCCTAGCAAAACTAACGGAACTAGAAAATGGCGAGTGGCTTACTCGTTCCTTTACTTATTGTTATTTATTATTCTATATTTACCATTGCTATGTTTTTATATCTAAGAGATATATTATATCCACATATACCTTCCTAATTTTACCAAGGCAATTGATAAGATTAATGTTTGCTTGCTATTTTCAAACGAATGAAACCAGTTATGAAATAAGATAGAAGGGATCTCTGAAAATCCTCGAATTCTCTCGGGAGCAGTGAAATCGTTTTGAATTAAAGGCTGAGTGAATGTATTTTATAATCGTTGAATAAATTTTTTTCAATTTTATGAAGCATTTGTCTTTTTTACTTTAATCGAGAGGCAAATACAATATTAGTGATTGCCATTGGTGATTTTGTTGCTAATTTCGCTATCCTATCTATACAAATCCCCTGAATAAATTATAACGCTTCATTACCCATAGAAGAATTCGATATTTGGAGAGAAAAATTATGAAATGGCTATTTAATAATTCCTATCCAGTTTATAAATATGTAATAAAATATATTCACTTGTAAAATTTAGGAAAAACCGGCATGCACCCATATTTTCACGTTTGGCTTACCGTTTTTATGTTCCAGTGACTTTCGAGCTCCAAACGAGTTTTGGTACTGTAGAAGTATTCGACCATGACCCCATAATATATAATTCACAGGTATAAATAAATATAATAATAATTCAACAATTTGTTCAAGATTTTACCAAAAACTTTCTTCAACAAATTTTTTGAAAATTTGTTTTCCTGAATTTCCCGAATCACGAATTATTTGAAATAAGAAGGACTAATATTTTTCTTAAATTTTTCTGAACGGTCTAATTGAATTCATTTTTTTCGACAAATATACAATTTCTAATTTTTTCTGCAAAAAAGTTCTTCAATCGAGTGATATTTTAATATGTTTCATTTTAAATAATTGCAGCAATTTTCTGCGGCACCACAGTTAATTTTGTAAACCTTAATACCTTATAATCAAAAAAATTTAGATACGAATGTCAGTGATTGCTAAGCAACAAAAGCCAATAGCTGAACTTCATGAAAATGGTGCCTTAATATTACTCAGTGATCTTTCAAACAGACAGCCGTACTTGCCTATAGATCTAAAATTAATAGCGAACGATTTCGGATCACCTCAGTTATTCTCCGTAGCAAACCTTACTATCATTCCAGTTACCGTATCAGGTGTCATTATTTCTTGGCTTTTTTAAAAATAGATTTAATAATAAATTAAAGAAGGCTGTGGATGTGGATACACGCTAGCTCTTCGCGTCAATAGACATTTTTTCAAGAAAAAAGCATTTCTTCTCAGCATTTTAATTCATAGCAAAGTAAGTTGAAGCTTATAAAACCGATTCGAATTTGAAGAAGTAGATCAATTATCGATAAATGTGGCCGATGTTCAGTTTCAAATATTCGAATGGCGAAAACCGAAATATGGAGTTGCAAAGGAATTTAGATTGGTCGTTAAAAGAAATGGAATGATGATGTACGAAAAAAGAGTTGATGGCAATGCAAATATGGATTTAAGCAAGGTTTTTCAATTAATTTTTAATACCATTAATGTTAGGATAAAATGTTACTTTCGTCTTTTCCAACAGAAATGAAAATGAAAGAATGAAATGAAAAAAAATTCTCAAGCAAATTAAAACATTCTTTTCTTGTTAAACTATGAGATTGATGTGAAAAGCTTAAGTTGATTTCTAAATTTTTTTGAATCTGATGATGATGAGCTAGCTGATCAGCTTTCTAGTAATTTTTATTTCTGTTCTAGTGAATTTTATTCTATTAATTATCAAAATCTGATAATTTTTTATTATTTTTTATTTTATTTTCATTTATCTTCGATGCAAGTGGATTTTTTATCAAGTAAAAAGCATTATCTTTAAAAACTAAGTAAGAGTACTTTCTTTTATTTGAAAGTAACCGTGGTATTTTTCCCTCACCACTTCTTTGGTTCGGCTCGCTGCTAGCCTTCTTGCCATAGAATCTTGGAGATGGAACTACAAGTCTTAAGCTTTCAAGATTTCTTTTGAGATTAGTAAAACTTATGCATATGCATATAGAACTTTTTTATTTTTATTTCAAATCTCATCTCCTCTTTCATTACAGTTCCTTTTGAGTTTATGAGGGAGTTATAACTTTATTTGACTGCTAAATAACGAAAAATTAATGGAATATGTTAATTAATTGAAATAAATTGTAGAAAGCGTTTTCAACGAGAAACAGTCTTAAATATGTCGGTATTGGTACTGGTCTTCCATTTATTTTTATTTTTAAAAATTCATCCATCCACTACTTGTTTAATTACTCGATATTATTCATATCTTAAATCATCATTAATTTTTACCAATTTTACCAATTTGGAACAATAAAGCAATTTAGAGACGTTACGATTCGAGATACAGTTACGAGTTGCAAGTTTTTTCAGTCAGTAAATTTGGTGAAACTCCTTCAAAACCAATCAATTTTAGCGTTTCTTTCACTGGTATTTTATTTGCAATGCATAATTTATAAAACAGATCCAAGAATATCAAAAATTATTCATCATGATCTCGGAAATAGACTGTTTTACTAGTACTTAGTTGAATTTTTGATTATTTCGTTGGATCTGGAAATAAACTAAGTAAATATTCGAGAGATTTTTGACCTCTTAATTATTCATTTATTAATAGATAACTGTGAACTGTGAATAAACTTTAACTTTCTCCATTTTTACAGATGTGAAATGTGTGGGCGAATGCGCTGGTAATGGAAAACCAATATGTTATCGTGGTGAATATCATACGATGTATCAGTATCGAGACCACGAGGGACTCCACTGCATTTGCTATCAAGGATATTCAGGAAATATGTGCCAAAATGAAGGTTTGTTAAGACTGCATATGAATGAACATTCTATAAACATGCTATAATTGTTGAGAATAATCTTAATTTCGTTTAAATCAAAAACACAATAAAAATCTATTCTTTACCATCGTAATTCGTCCTTGCTTGACCATTATCGAACTCAATAATTTATTTCCATATTCAAATTTTGAATATTTAGAGCAATGTGAACATGAAACGAGTTTTGAAACATTCGGTAAAATTGAGTGGTATCCAATCGTCGTCAATAGAACCGCGCATGTGCCATGCCCCTTTGGACATGAAGGTGAAGTAGTACAACGAAATTGTATTTGGGATAACTTTCTCAATAAAGCTATCTGGGAATCTATTGGTGGTGATCAAACTTGTCGTAAACAAGTATTCTAATTTTGCTAATCACTTTCATTTAGCGATTGACAAAGTTAAGCCAAATTTAACGTAATCAATTTTAAAAGCTATTTTAGAGTTCTCTACTAATTCATTTGGGTGTAATATCGAATTATGCGGAAACTTCGAAATCCATATCAGCAATCGAAACTATTCATCGATTCATTAAATCCCTTCTAAGATTACCAATATTTTTGACAAACGTCACAAGCGTACCATACGATACAAGAATCGCTGAATATGTTATACAAATTTTAGATATGACATTATCATTGGATATTGATAAAACAACGGGAAATATTACTGATATACAGGTATACAACTCTTTTTAAACAACTAATGATAGTGTGAAAAATATCACTTCGAAATTATTCCGAGTTAATTTGTTATAGTTTTTTACAGAACAAAATATCATCGCTTATAATGGATTTCTCAAAAACTTTACCTTGTCCTTATACGCTGACATCCTCAGATCAAGGAATAGTAATGAAATATATGGATTGGATTGGCAATTCCGAAACTTTCCCATTACTCCTTTCTAATATGTGCGCCATAAAACTGCCTATTTCATTGAAATCTACGCGGATCCGTATTATTTGCATGAAAAATTTCTTCTTAAATCCTATTTTACATAAAGAAAATCCAGTTTTATCAATTGAACTTGACGATGAAATTTCACATGGATTTATCCGAATCGAACTGCGACCTTATACAAGTGCAATTAACTTTACCTGTGTAAGCTTTCACCCTAAAGGTATATCATTAATCATTAATTTTGTTAATTTATTATTCTATGATGGCAAGTATGAAATAAAGAAAGATGAGATAATTCTTTTAAAATTTCATAGTTAGAGATCTGTTATAATGAATTTATTATGAAACTATTCTTTACAGATAATGGCACCACTTCTGAACGGTTTCACCTTCTTTATATTTTTTCAGAAAATGTATGGACAACATCAGGTGTCCAGCTAATTTCTTCAAACTTCAATGGAATGGTTGTTTGCAAAGTTGATCACTTAAGTTTATTTTCTTTACTTCCTGTAAGGCTGATTTTAAAATTTACTGAAATAATATATTAATTAACTTCTATGGTGCTTAGTTTCCTTTGGCGGTTTAAAAATTGCCAAATGAAATTAGTCTATTGAATTTCAAGTTTCAAAAAACAATTTCGCTCCCAGTTTATCTATTTATTCTTTGAGGTATTTTTAGTTAAAAAGCTATAAGCTATAAGCTATAAAAAAACTTATGAAAAAACAAAATAAAATAACCTATGGAAAGTGGATTTTATCGAAACTTAGCTCTGAAATTTTCGAAAATTATGATAAAAAGTTCGCAGAGATTTATTTTCAGCAATCTTTGTTCTTATCAAAAAACCATTTTAATGAAAGTTTTTCGATTCTTCTTATTATCTCTACGATAATAATGGTTATCTTATGTTGCATAATAATAACAACTGCGATGCTATTTCGGTTAGAATTCTCAAATTCTGTCTTCTGAAAGGCGAACTACCGTTTAACTGAATGTTATATCTTCTATAATCGAAAATTTTCAATCAAGAATGGATATTACTCCTAATGAGATTTGAGAATGTGATTAAGGGTTTGAATAATCGAATAGTAAATGGATTCATAAATTTTTTAGATGTATTTCAATGAAATTTGGGTTCTATAGGTTTTGAAGAAGGAAGGAAAAGGAAAATCTGCTTTTCTTGGGTAGGACAATTAATTCTATTTTCACCGTCCAAAGAGAACCACTTGAAGGAATTTTTGGGCAGGTTTACACCCCTTCAGGGTGAACCTCGCTCTCGGCATTAGAAACTCAGCAGCAACCCACTGAGTCGTTCGATCCCTCAGGCGATCACCATAAATCCTTCAATAAAAATATTGCAGAAAAAATATCTCGTTACCTTCAGTCTTCGTATATATTCATATTCTGGTGCTACATATCATTCAGCTCATAATCATAATATTAAAGTCGTCTGAAAATGAAGAATTCAGCAAATATATCTCATATTTTGAACTATTTTCGCAATATTTAATCATATCGTTGACGTTAGCGTTTGCGTTTCTCTCACACAATATATATACGAAAGCAAAAAATTTCCAGTGTAAGCTGTCCGTTATTGAAAAGAGGGTCCAGAAATGTCCAAGGATATTTGTCTATATTATCGGTTGGTTCTCTATGAAAGTTAAAATAAATATCTTTCAAGAAATGAGAATATCAAAAAATGGTTGAAAAATATTTTCATAAAAATATCGAAAAAAAGTTGCTACACTGAGTTGTTACTGTCTAACTTATTTCATTTTAATCTTTAAATAAAAATAAATCGTTACTAATCATTTAAAAGGAGAGGATAGCCGAGTGATATGTTGCAAGCATCATAAACTTCTGTTCTTTAGAAAGAAATCTTTTATTTGACTCATGCTGTGGAACTTACCTGCAATGACTTTCCCTATGTGATTTTCTTCCCCTGACGAAGAGCTTAATGGCTGGAGAAACCAGCTAAATCAACAGTGAAAAAAACTGTTAAAAGAAATTAGAAGAAATTTGCTAACGTAAATAATTTAATAATTTAAAAAACTTTGTAAATATGAAAAAATTAATACCAAATAATTTAAAATTAATATTTAGCTTTATCTATATTGTTCGCTGTTGCAAATTACTGGTTTCGTCGACTGAAGCAACATAAATGGTAAATTTTTTTCCTTTTGTTTTCACCTTTATTTTTTTAAAATTAGCTAAATATTTCAATTATCAAAATTTATCTGTATTTATCTTCTATAATTTATCTATATTCTATTTTATATCTGTATAATGTATCTGTATTTTAAATTTATCTGTATTTTAGCATATATAAACATGGTCATTGGCCATTAATGATCGCATTTTTTTTACCAATAGTTACAAGCATATTACTTACTCTTGGTTACTCGATTTCTGCAACGAGGATAGGTGTTTCGGCTAAGAAAATACCACGGAACTCCGGTGAAAAGCTTTATTTCAGTAATATTATAAGAACTTCGTTCTATACACCATTCACATTCCTCATTTCATTTGTTGATTTTTTTTTATTTTTTCACCGTTTTAACTTAATTCGAATGATATTTCTTGCATTGTCACAACTCTTGCTTAGTTTCATCTTAATCGCATTTGCTTTACTTATACTTTCTGTAAATAATAACGAAAATGAACTAAAAAGTGCTAATTCCACTCATAAATTAGATAATATGGATAACGGAGATCTTTTACAGTCACCTTTGGATTTAAAAACTTATTCTCCTCTAAACGATAGCATAAGCGATTTATATGGTGAATGTTTTCATATTCAACCGATTTCAAATATTGAAAGACCTATTGTTAGCGTTGTGTAATTTCTATGCATTATGATGTATAAAAAATCATTCCATCATTCTCTGATAAAATGCATAACGAAAAAGATTTAAAGTATTTGGCAATTTAAAGAAATATATTTCTAATTTTTTATACATTTATAATCATAAAATAAATAACAAAGAACAAAACTAGTAAAATCCTCAACCAAACAAAGTGAAATAAGCAATACAATTTTATGGCCTTACAGTTATTTTATCTACCTATTTTACTTTTTCACCTGCTCACCTTTTCACTCTTTCGCCCGAGAATCATTTGAGGTACGACTGGGTCCCAAGATTTAACAACCGAGACCAAACCAAGCTTAACTAACATCAAACGGCAACAGTCGAAATACCTGCTTAATACCTAAGCAATAAACTAATCAATCACACTTTTCCTAAAAAATTTCTGATTTAAAAAAATACAACTTATAAAATCGCCTGGAAATCATGATTCTGGAAATGTTTTTCTAAATTAAAATTTCATTCCTCAATTAAAACAGCCAACTTTGAAGGATAATTGCATTAATCAATTTTCTTTAAACTACTAAAAAAAACCGCAGCTGAGAAAAAGTAAAAATAGAAAAATGTTGATGATTTATAAATGAAGCAATTATTGTCATATTTAATAGATATTTCACTGAAATTTTGCGCCATACTTTCCCAAACAGAAAACAACCAAGAAAAAATGCACTCGTTCAATATTACCATAAATAAACTTCTATTCGAGATTCCTCCAAAAATCAGGATTCTGTTTTAAACGATTATAAAAATTTGTATACCAATTCTGAATTGTTGATGCCGGAATGAATTCAACAACACTATTAGGATTTTCTGGTCTCGGAATGGTAACAACAAAAGATGTGACATAATTTACAAAATTTTTCAGCATTTTCTCAGGAAATTCCATGTGCAGTGGCTGAAAAGTGTGATATGATGTTAAACAACAGTCAAGATTTCACTTCCGTTATCATTGTAGTACTGGCGAGAGACAACAGATTTGGATATCCATTTTATTTCCTTTCCTTTAACTTTTTCATCTTGCTTAAATTCTTTATTATTACCGTATTAACCCTTTTCTTTGCCTTGTCTGCAAGGCCAGAGAATAGTTTAGCTTAATAGACAATACAAATGGACTTCAACCACCATCATTCACATTCTTTCATTATGAAAAATTGTTTCTGTGCACTAAATCGAAATACACTTATATTTCTATATTATAACCATCATAAGGTATTGAACTCGTAATGCAAATCTAGTAACCAATTTTTTACTACGATTTATGATTTTTTCAGATTATTTATTTTTCAAACGAATTTACTTGTTGACTAGGTGTTATTCCAACAGCAGGGACTTTACTATCAATTGCAGAAAGTGGTTCTATACTAATACCAATTTGGGCAATTCCATTTGCGCTAGTTGATAACGGTAATGATGTAAAAACTGATTCGTGAATAGCGTCCAATTTATGCAACTGAAATAAAAATTTTTTTCTTCGATGTTTATCAACAATAATATTTTCAGCAACAGTAACATTTTTAATAAAAATTTTTAAAATCAACCTGAGCAACACGAAAAATTGCACTCGGTTTTGCATTTGAAATGCTTCCAAGATAATGCCAATTCGTTTCCGACTGTAACTGTGGCCAACGAATAAACACTGAAATCAAAAATAAAAGTAGACATATTCCATCCATCAAATTTCTTCACCTACTGCGCAGTAAACAAAAAAATTTTGACGAACCGAATATTGCTTGCTTATTTATCTGGAAAAAAGGAATTTCAGTGATTCTATAATTTATATATTAAGAAGATATGCGGATGACCTATATGAAGTCCAGAGAATAAAAAATTTAAAGCAAAGAAAAGGACTTTTTTCTCAAATCAAATAAAATAAATATAGGAAAGATCATAAAAATAAAATCTGGCAGACGTTGAGGATTAACTTGAATTCCAAGTGAATCTCTGGCGAACAGATAGTTTCGCAATGGTCGCTGTGGCCAGCTAAACCAGAAATAAAGTGGTAAGGAGAAAAAGTGTGATGCCAGTCGTAAATTTCGACAATGGTAAGAGACAAGAGACAAAAATATAGGGAAAGTAATAAGAAACTACAAACCACATCCTCCACTCCCATCAGGAAAGGGCAATATGCCGGTTAAAAAAACGACGATATGATTGATTGAGCCAGCGTCTTCCACTTCGGTAACGTATTCTCGCTCACTTGCTTGAATGAAATTCGCTTGAATCTAAGAGGAAAATTTTTAATTAATTAATTGAGCAATAAAGGCAATTACCGAAAATTTTTTCAGCTTTCCGAGTAGCAAGAAAAAGAAAGACACTCTTCACCGAGCCGATTAGCGGACGACCCTCAAATCAAAAAATGCCGCCAGATGGTCGCTCTTTTCTCTTCCCTTCTCCTTCCCTTAGTCGTTCCTTCAGTGTTACTTCTCACAAAACTACTGATCCGTCAATAATCTATTCTCGCGACAACGCACAGCGTTTCATCTCATAAAATTAAACAAAATATCATCACAAATCACAAAATCACAGTGGGAAAAAAGATTCTCGAAAGCGAATTATGAATTTTAACGAACATAATTATTCAATAAATGGACAAATAAAAATAAGAAACAACCAAAAAACAAATTTTCCACAAAAAATCCGATAGAACATTTCTTGCAGAATTTTGGAATTGACCACCCAGCGAAATAATTAATTAACTATTATAGTAAAATCAACTAACCAACCGACCAGCGATAATAACACCGAAGATATTCGCAATGCCGTTCTCCATCTTCGAGCGATTTCAGCTAGAACTTGGTGCCAAAGACTTTTATGGCCGATCGTCAGCAAACTACGGCCGCCTTTTGCGGCCCTGAATTTTATGACTTACTTAAATCAGTGATGCACAACATTTACGGGAAAAGCATCATTTTTAGGTTCCGCAATGAAAGGCATTTTTTTAAAATGTTTCTTTATGATTGTTTTTGTGGAATTATTTATTCCTCTTCTTCACTTACCATTACTGGTTAGGCTGGCTCGGCTGGCTACAAGGGTAAGACGTCTCCAATCTGCTCAGTCCGACGCCATCGCTAATAATAAATAGAAGCCATTCCTTTTTCCATCGTCTAAGTCCATATATCGCTAGTCCCCCTATACGTTCAAAATCTTTTCTGATTGTATCAGTCCAGGTCTTGATTGACTCTCCTTGCTTCTGACGCCAACCATCAAAGGGTTCGGCAAGTAGCGAAATATACATCAACTCTTGTGCTGGACGATGGCCATTTGGGATTAGAGTGGATCAAACGTATTCAAAGTCAAGCAGTTCTTCAACCGGCAATGAATTGATAAAGATAAATTTTTTATCAGCATCTTGAATATAAGACGAAAACAATTTCGTTTTATTTACATTAATTTTAAGCTCAATTCTCAGTTGTTAATACGTTGTTTAACATTATTTGCATTTCCTTATAACTGTCAGCAAAAAGGACTACAGAAATACAGGCTTATTCAAGACCTGTGATATTCACTGGACTGATTTGCACAAGCCTCTTGGCAAACCGATAAGCGGTAGTCTATCACATATTTGAATATTGTAGGGGAAAGGACGCAGCCCTGACGGACAAAAGTTTTTATTTCGAAGGAGTTTGTCAATTCCCCATATATACAGACCTGCGCCAGGGTATGCTGATAAAATGCCTTTATAAGTCGAATGATCTTCTCTGGGACACCATCGCGTTCCATCACCCTCCAAAGCATCGCTCTATCAATTGAATCAAAGGGGTAGCCGCAATAATCGATAAAGCAAGTAACGGTGGTATTTGAAACGATGTTCCAGCGTCCTTCTTAGCGTAAATGTCTGGTCACCACAACTGCTTCTCGGTCTGAATCCAGCTTGGTTAGGATGCATTCTGCTATCCCGTATTGTCATGAGTCTATTTAGCAGAAGGAAAGCGAAAATTTTTCCTGAGATGTTCAGTAGGCTGATTCCTCGGTAATTGTCGCAGTACGTCCTGTCACCTTTCTTCGGAATTGGAAGCAGAATTGCTTTGCTCCAGTCTTCTGGCATTATTTGACTATTCAATAAAAAAATCAATATATTTGACAAAACTATTCTCCGCACTATACATTATTTTTATATTGTATCACTATCTTATAATTTACTACTTATTATTTGTTATCAACGAATCGGATAAGTTTCTTTTTCTTTTCTTTTCCTTTTTTAAAATTTTTTTTATCTTTGAATTTCTTCTAAATCTAATTTGCTTAATTATCCCTATTCTCTGTCTTTGAAGGGAGTAAACCTGTCATAATATCAAAAATCCAGGTGGCTGTTGCGGACCCATCTGTATTTCTATCCCCAAATGTCTCTATTCTGGTGATTACTTATTATCATTTTATTATTGTTTTTATCATTTGTCTTACATTATAAAGTTGTTTTAATATTGGTGATATTTAGCAAAATTTTGAGTCGATCGCATAAAAGCAGAATTTGAAATCATGCGAAATTTTTATATTAGTCTGTTAGAGAAAATTTTTTCTTACTAAAAAAATAAGAGAAAAATAGCAATACACATGGTGATCAGTTCGCTACCGGACTTGTTGTCCACTAAAAAAGCTCGATAATCTCAGTTATTCCATACGAAAGCAGTAAAATCTTCTTTAAACTGTTACTGCATTATTGAATTATTTGAATAATTTAAATGATCCATACAAAAAAAATATTTAAATAAATAGCGGAATACAAATTTTTAAAATCTGATCCTTCATTTAAGGTATTAAAGTAAGGTCTCTCTCATTTACGAAAAATTTTGGAAGGTATACTACTACGAATAATAGAATATATCGAAAACGTATGGCAAGGTTCACTCCCCATTTTTTCCTGTATGATCGATTTGCCTTCATTCGTCGAACATCTATTTCCATGGAAATTCTTTTCATTTTTTTTTGTTCACATATTATTTGGTAGGTGGACTTTGGTAAAATAATTAAAATAAGACTGACAAATTCCAACGATAAATTTAAACTAAATATATATAAATATATAAATTATATAGATATATAAATTTAAAGACAATTTTTAACATATCTCTTTCTTTTGTAATTTTTATTGAGGACAACGGTCGCTTAAAACAATTAAGGATTTGCGCTCACCATTCTACGTAGGTTGATTTTGTCAGTTGTCAGAAATTTTCGCTGAAGAGTCACTTGACGATAGAAATATAAGTGCAGTGCATCTCCAACACCAACCTTTTAGTGACAGATCTATTTCTGCCGAGGAGCATGAGCCTAATCCTTGTCTCGCAACATGATACCTAAATCACTCTTCACTTATCCATCCTTCCCTTTATGGTCGTGCAAAGAAATTATAGATTCCTGATTCTTGATCACAGACAATTTCAAATGGTTTTTAATAACCTCCATTAAGAAATTTTTTAAATGATTATAGCTGACGAGATTTTTTGATGAAATTTCTTTAGATACCGAAGTATTTTTCATTTTTTTTTTGGTTTATATTTTTATATTCCAATATTAAACTCAATCTTTGGTGTATATTCACCGACTTTCTTTTTCCTTTTATGGAGAAAATTTCGTAATTCAACTTTCTCGTGACATCTCCATTTTTCATTTTAAATTACTTTGATAACCTGATTTTAATGGGTATTTTTCTCGATAAATGCTGCCTCTAGTACCTTTCTTTAAATTTATATGTGCATGTATTCTATCGTTCACATTTCATCAGGTTTCCGTTTTCTATTCATGTTTTTGATGTCCTTTTCTAAGAAAACTTTTCATTCCATGTTTAATGATTACCAGTTATTTTTCAGTTTTTAAATAAAATTCATAGATTTTCTGAAAAATTTTCTTATATTTTTTTAAAGGATAATTCAAAGGAATTTTGTAAATTTAAATTCAAATTACTCGTACATTTACATTTTATATTATTTTTTTAAATAGCGAAACTTTTTGGCTTTTAATAAATCAATATTGGTTATAGCTGAGATTCTTTAAAGAAAATTCTTTAGATACCGAAGTATTTTTCATTTTTTTGGTTTATATTTTTATATTCCAATATTAAAGCGGGTAGAATGGTTCAGTGAGTTGTTGCTCAATTGGGAGTGCCGGTGCTGAAGTCCGATTCCTTGCAGGAGTAAAGTTGTACAAAAATCCGGGTAATGCTGGCGACTCACCTGTATTTCTATCGCCAGGGGGCTTCCTGGCATATTGCCCAATGCGACAAGCTAGTGGAGCGAGTTTAACCAGTAATGGTGAGGACTCTTAAAAAAAATTCCAATAAAGATTGAAACTCAATCTTTGCTGTATATTCACCGATTCAATATATTAAAGCTAATGATTTAGGCTTTAGGGCTCAGAAAAAGGCACTTTTTCTTCTTTTATCCATTATTTGAAAGCCAATTTGCTAATTTGCTTTCCATAATTTTTTCATGGTAACTAATTAAGAAGAAAAACTTGATATTCATTTTTTGTATGAAAACAAAACGTGCTCATTCCGAAACGCAATATGAGACGCAACTCAATTATATAATTCATTCCCCTTTTATTTTTAGATTGTCAAGCAACAGCAGTACAACAGCACTCGTTACCAATGAGAAAATCGCGACCTCATGAAGAACAACTTATTCGCTATAGAAAAACAAATGATGTAAATAATGAGATTGCCGTTGCCGTATCTGAAAATGAAACTTTAAATAAATCTTTAAATTAATAAAAATTATTATTAAATTTATGACAAAAAGCTCAAAATTAATATTCAAATTTAGGAGAGAGAAAATTTTTAAAATTAAAATTAAAAAAATTTTAATGTTAATATAATTTTGAAAAAAAATCTAAATTTAGTTTGAATTTTTCGAAAACTTCTTTTTAATAAAATGATTTGGAGCGCAAAAACTGAAAAAAACACTATTAAGGAAGTAAAATGTATAACAACATCGAATGGAGTACCTATTTTTAACAAAAACGCATCTTTAACTGTTGGTCGACATGGACCAATGCTTATGCAAGATGTCGTTTATATGAATGAAATGGCCCATTTTGTCCGAGAACGCATTCCGGAGAGAGTTGTTCATGCTAAAGGAGCAGGTTAATCTATTTAAGTTCACTATTCATTAATTATTTATTATTTAAAGAATAAAATCTCACATGATTGCATCCACCTTCCCTCACAAGAATTGACACATTTCTTGCTAAACCTTATAATGAATGGCGTCAAAATGAGAAGGGCCAACCAAACTTGGACTGTCAGCTAGGAAAAAATTTGAACGTATAGGTGGCCCAGCAACATACCCACTTAGACAATGGAAAAAGGAACGGCTTCTATTACTTGCAAAGCTTGGAAATATCTGTCTATAGCCAGCGAGGCCTAGTCGATAATGGTGAGAGCTGTTAAAAGAATTGAGAAACGAGATAGCAGAGCGAAAATTGCCTCAGATTATCGTGTTGGGAGCCAAGGGCTGGGCTCGGCTATTTACTGCCCCATACATGAGTAAGCTACCATTAAAAAGTTCGAGAAGCGACTCGCTTCTTATCGCCATGTTTATTCTTACCATTTTTTCCTGTGAATTTTGTGGATTTTCATAGGGATAAAGAATTTTGTGCCAAATCTGAAAAAGTTCAATATTAATAAATTTTACCCGAATGAAACAATTATTTAAGCTTCGCTATTTATAATATCAACGTTGCATTATTACAACATTAGAATTAATATACGATAATATATCATTCCGCTTGGCGAAAAATTTCTGTGCTGACAACAAGCAAGGTTAAATTAGTCAAAATAGCAGACTTTGCCCAGTTAATTATTAAATTATTAACCACAGTTTAATAATTGCTATTATTAAATACCTTACTTATTAATTTTATAATTCATATTTTAATTAAATTCTGCAATCTTCAGCTGATTATTGTATTATTTGAAAAATCTATCTCGACTGAATTCTAAGTATTTGAGACCTGGTTAAATTAAAAAATTAACAAATAAAATAATTTCAAATTTCAAGGCGCACATGGTGTTTTCACTGTAACGAACGATATTTCGAAATATTGTAAGGCATCTTTGTTCGCTGAAGTTGGCAAACAAACCGACGTATTTGTGCGGTTTTCAACTGTGGGTCGGTGACATTTCACTTGATTTGATGATTTTTTTCTAAGAATATTAGTTTTTATGAATTTAAACCGTTTTTTAACATGTGAAATCATGTGATTTTATAAAATTTATCGCTTTTCAAGGACCCAAAATTGATGTTCAAAAAAAGTTATTTGTCAACAACAGTTTTATTGAAAAGAAAATGAGATTCGACAGTCAAAAATCGCGCAACAAGTTCATATCAATTAATTTAATTTATCGAATTTTAGGTGGCGAATTGGGTAGTGCTGATACATTGAGAGATCCACGTGGATTCGCGATAAAATTTTATACGGAAGATGGAAATTGGGATCTCGTTGGAAACAATACGCCAGTATTCTTCATACGTGATCCTATACTTTTCCCGAGTTTCATTCATACGCAGAAAAGAAATCCAGTGACGCATCTCAAAGTAAATTCAATTTCCCCATTAATATTTCCTCAAATTTAAATTTAATTGAAAAGTTAAAATTTTAGTTTAACTTGGAAATTTTTTTGTAATATATAATGTGTCGACAAAAATATAATTTATTAATAATCAAATCAAGTATAATCAAATATCAATCATGTTTATCAAATATAATTCGCTTGCTGAAAGCTAATTTGGCTAAATGGTATTTTCGGGTGGAGCTATCAACTTGCATTTTTATAGGCTACTGACTTTGAAAAAATTCCATATGTGCAAAATGCCAGCGAAGCTAACCGAACACGAAGAATTCAAAGGTTATTAATCGAAATAATATTACAGGATGCGAATATGGTTTGGGATTTCTTTTCATTACGTCCAGAAAGCACTCATCAAATGATGATCTTGTTTAGCGATCGTGGTATACCCGATGGATATCGCTTTATGAATGGTTATGGATCACATACATTTAAACTTATTAATAATGAAGGCAAACAAGTATATTGCAAACTTCATGTTAAGGTAATCAGTAAATGTTGATATATATTTTATGTTTCTGCTCCTGGCTGAAATAAAATCATTTAAAAATCCAAGAAGTGCTGGCGACCCAACTCTCATCCAGTTGTGACTGTAATGGTGCAAATTATTACAAGAATTTATTAAATTAATTAAAAATTAATTTAATGAGTTTATCAAAATTTTATCATTTACCAACTTCCTAATATTTGCAGATAATTTCGTCATTTTCATAATTAATAAACTAAATAATGTATAAAATTAGAATTGGAACTTTATTTGTTTTGAGATACATAAAATTAGAATTATATATATATATTTATAAAATATAGGCTGAAAGTGGAACTAAAGAAGATGTGGAAAGGAAAGTAATCCCAGTTATAATCGGAGCACTTGGAACTATGATACCTAAATTAGAAAAATGGTTTGAGCAGATTCCAGGAACAATATTAACAATATTAGAGATCTCTATTTAGAAAATTGCATTGCTAGGAAAAGGTACTGATGCATAAGACACTATACATATCCTCAATTTCTCAGACCTTTGCTAGAGGACTCGAAATTTAGGGTAATCTTTATCACCCATAGAAGGCGAGAAAGGGATTTTATATATATTTTAAAAACCCAAATAATATATATACATATAATATATGCTACCACTTTGCAGTAGAAAATCAACTTTTTAAAATAATTTTTAGAAACGGAAACACCAAAAAGCATAAGAATTTTATCATTTTGTTGCAAATTTGTGCCACCTGTAAAAAGCTGCAGCGAAGCTTGATGAAAAACTCATTAACAAGCAAGATAACCAACAGTATATAATGGTAGCAAGCATAGAATATATCCGACCATTCATATTCAAATTTATTTAAATCTACATTAAATCTTTGCTTAAATCTTTTAAAAAATCTTATCTAAGATTTTTTTAATGTTTCAAAATGAACGAGAAAAGTATTTCAAATAAATTTTTTGAACTTTTCGGTAACTGCAACTTAAATATTGAGAAGCTACAAATTCTATGAGCATTTATTTTTTTCAGTTTTCTTTAATAGCTAAAATAACTTATTGTTTAAAAAAAACTTGTTTTTCTCCAATTTTGAATTCAGACTTTAAGTTTTCAATTCTAATTTTTTAAAAGGTTTTTTCAATCTAAAAAATTAAAAATTAAGATTTTTCCTTAAAAAATAAACGTTTGGTTTGTCAAAAGTTTTAATTATTACATTTATTATTACATTTATAATTATTTTAATCAATTATAATTATTACAACAATTAAATCAAATTTGCAAATTCAGTTTCAAAATTTCAAAATTTTCAGCAAGAGCGATAATTTCGATTTTCAGGTTTAAAATGTTTTGTTACTATTACCATAAAGCCAAATTTCCTGAAATGTTAATATTTATTTCAGAGTGCTCAAGGTATTCGAAATTTAACGACTGAAGAAGCGAAACGTTTGGCTAGTGAGGATCCGGATTATTCAATTCGCGATTTATATGATAGTATAGAGGAAGGCAATTTCCCTAAATGGAATTTAATGATTCAAGTAAGATCGTAAAATCATATTTCCAAAAAAAAAAAAATTCTAAAATGTAATGTAATTTAGAAACTTGCGATTTATAAATCCGCCATAATAAATTATATATATATATATATATATTTGGCGTTTATCGTAATTTATTTCATTCAGGTGATGACATTCAAAGAAGCTGAAAGATGTAAATTCAATCCATTCGATGTTACTAAAGTATGGCCTTTTTTTTCAAAGTATTTTTGCTTAGGGAAGGAAAAACTGAACGAGATAAAAAGCTATTATGATGTCTCTTCTCTAAATAAATTCAGAATTTTCGAAAGATAAATTTGCTTATTTTATTCTCGAAAAATCAAAATTCATTCTTTAGGTTTGGTCGCATAAAGATTATCCATTGATTCCAGTAGGCCAAATTGTTTTAAATAGAAATCCAACAAATTATTTTGCGTTCACTGAACAAAGTGCATTTTCACCATCACATGTGGTACCTGGAATTAATTTTTCACCTGATCGAATGCTACAAGGTTATAATGTTAATTAGTCTTTTTCATTTGAAAAATCATTTAAAATGATTTAAAATAAATGATTTAAAATGATTTAAATGATTTAAAAATTTAAATGAAAAATGATTTAAAGATTTAAATGAATGAAATGATTTAATGATAAATGATTTAGAAAAATGAATGATTTTAAATGATTTAAATGAAACCTATAAAAAAGGTTCATTAAATTAACAATTGGAATCATTAATGTTTTACTTTGCTTTGAACGTTTCTAATTAGATGCTAGAAATTTTAAAAAACAACAATTAGATTTTGTTTATGGATTTGAAAATATCGAAAAATATGGATCTGGAAAACGATAGCGAATAAATTATTGTTGAACAATAAATACATTGGTTAAATTTTTTATAGAGAAAGGATGAATGTTCATAGGGAATTAGAAACAAGCACCTTTTGTAAAATTAGAATGATTCCATAAATTTTATCAATTATTCTATTAATGTAATGTAATGTAAATTATTAATGTAAATTTATTAATGTAATGTCTATTAATGTAAATTTTAAATTTAGGGCGTTTATTCGCCTATACAGATGCACATTTCCATCGACTCGGTCCCAATTATATTCAGTTACCAGTTAATTGCCCCTATCGTTCTCAACCGCAAAACTGTCAACGTGATGGATTTATGACCTTTGCAGTAAATGAAGGTCGTTTTTCACATTTCATTGAAATTTTCTTATTTTAACTGTATGTAATCATATTGATTTCAATTCAGATGGTGCTCCTAATTATCATCCAAGTAGCTTCAGTGAAATAAAACAATGTCCAAAAACTAAAGAAGAGAGTTGGTATATTGCCGGTGATGTTGATCGTTATGATGACGGTGACGATGATAATTTTACTCAGCCACGAGATTTTTGGTTAAATGTAAATTTTTTGCAACTTATAATCGACAGAACATAATTAATTATAATTCCTTTACGTCTAACAATTTTATAATAAACTTTAAATGATGAACTTAATGTTGTTCCTAACATTCTTAACATCACCTTTCGTTATCAGTTTTTGAAATCTTATGGCTCTCAGTTTTATCAATTGAAATTATAAATAATTATGGCCCAATATAATTAAACAAATATATATATATATAATATAATATGATAAAATATTAAACAAATATAAATATATATATAATATAATATGATAAAATATTTTATTGTTTTCATCGCCATCCTCTTAGAAAATTTGGGAACTTAATGAATGCTCGACATTTCTTCTTCTTAACATTCCTTATCTCTTTTCATTTGTCTATCTCCACTGGCTGTTAGGATAAATCAATTAAGAAAAAAAAATACAGGCAAATCCTCAATTCTGCCAGACTTCCACTTTTAGTAACATGTTTATTCGTGTAAAAGTAAAAAAATCATAACCTCCACCAAATCGACTAATCTTACCCAGACCATTATTTATTTTTATACGAAGAATTATATTCAGGTACTTGACGACAATGCACGAACCCGACTTGTTAATAATATAGCCGATAGTCTAAAGGAATGCGTACTATTTGTACAAAATAGAACGATCAAAAATTTGATGCAAGTTCACGAAAGTTTTGGCAATGCTGTCAAAGAAAGAATCAAAAAACTTAATATTTCGGTTCAAGAATGAAGTCGATTTCATCACTCAATAAATATTTAGCAATTTGCGCTTTTAATATTTTCATTCCTCCATTCACTATCCTTACTTGCTATATAAAAAAATGCAATCTTATATAAATGAATGAATTTTAAAAAATTGAAAAAAAATTTTCAAATTTCAGTTTATTATTGTTGAAAAACAATAAATTTATTTCCTATGAAGCAACTAATTAATCATAGCGTAGCTTTTTATTCAAAATCATAAATTTTTCAGGATATTTTCTAAAAAGTTTAAAACTGATTAGGTTGGTTCTCAAAACGGAAGATTCAAAAATGCAGATGAAAAAAAGTCGTTGCATATAAAAATGTTAATATACGATATAAAATGTTTCATGAAAAAAAAAATTGCGTGGAACCATGCTTCCCAGTAAAAAAAACTTGTTATGATGGAGGTGGAAAAATAACCAATTTTATTCAACACACCGGATAAATCCTTCGCCGAAAAATCATTTTTAAGACTCAAATTTAAAAAAAAAAAAGTAAAAATCTTAGAGATTAAATGATATATTTTTGAACGAATAAATCTGTTCCACTTTTCTATGGGTAAAAATAAAAATAAATAGTCTTATAATGTAACCTACTACAGAAAATGAAAATGATAAAAAATACCAATATTAATATTTAAGTTGATTCATAATGAAAGAAAAGAGTGTTAAATTTTAAAATACATTTAATTTAAAATTTATAAGTCGAGGATAGATATATATTAAAACACAATAAAATGCATATGAAAACCTGCTTTTTGAATCATTCGATTATTTTAAAAAATCATGAAAATTTTAAAAAGTTGAAGTGGATGAAACGATTAGTTTTTGTTTACATATGATGAACTGGGAAAATGAAGGACTTCATCCAAAAGTTGTAATGCTCTGAAATTATGAAAAATTCCATTGGAAAAATAAATGAAGAGAAATTTTTTAAAGACAAGTTTTAATTGTGTGCAATATATTAATTTAAAGGACAAAAGATAGAAATAATTGAAACTAATTGCTTACTCTAGCTAATAAAACATCAAGTGAAATACTTTACGACATAGATGGAATTCAAAATTTTAAATCCTTCAAATGTTATGTAAATATTGGGCTTTACAGTCACATTCAATCAAAAAATTTTTTTGATTTCTAAAAGCTGCAAAGCAGTAATATATACCTATTAATCTGAACTTCCAACCAACAGGGAGTCTCTTTAATTGAAACTCTGTCATAATCTTCTCCCCATCCTTTTACGAATGATATGCCCAGGCAACAAAGACGGCGCAAATCATCGACATCCACATTCTAGAAATATTAAGAACAAAATATTGTAACAAAAAAATAATAAAAAAAGTAAATAAAAAATATTATATAATAAAAAATATTATAACAAAAAGATAAAAATAAATAAAGATAAAATAAAATAAATAAATAAAAAATATATAAAATAAAAACAAAATATAATAAGATAAAAATAAATAAAAAAATAAAGATAAAAAAGGATAAAAATAATAGGTTCAAAGAAACGGTAAATTAAATTTTGATTAAATTTTTACACCTCATATGAAGATAAATCTTTTTCATGGATACGTTCAAATGACATAGCTGCTCGTCGTCGAAGCACCTACAATGGGATAATCCATACCATGATATATTGATATTGATATATTGATTTACCATTCAAAGCGCTACTAATAAATTGAATGATACGAAACGTTTACCTCATTCAATTCAGTCTCACTAAGCCCAAGCAACGAAGCATTTTCAGAAGTGAGCTGTTTAAATGCCTTCTGATTATTTATTTGTTGAAAACACAATCGCAAATCAAAAACCTATAAATTACAATAAATTAAATTAACTAACCCAGAATTATTAATTGAATTTGATTTGAATTAAATCAAATTATAGAAATTTAAAAATAAAGAAACAAATATTAAATATTACAGCAATCAACTTCATTCTGGTGGAGAAAAACAGGAATAAATCAATTATTATTTTATGAGCCCTTTAAAAGTTCAGATATTAAGAATCCAAAGAAATGTAAATTTCTCGCGATAGGAAAAAACATTAAAATTAAAAATAAGTACCTTTAGTGAAGCCTGGGAGTAGATCTTATGAACAGCATCACCCGCTGTACGACCGGCCTGTCGATCAAGATATCCACTATTAATAAAGACAGGACGATCAGATAAAACAGTCAACCAAACATCACCATCTGCTTTTACGTCCAAACGTATCCCTTTACCAATTAGTTTCCTAAATATTTGAACTTCTTCTAACAAGGATGAAATTTTATCCACTCGGCGAATACGTAAAATGCACCTTAGACATGAGTGATCAAGGACAGATATAATTTTTTAATATCCTTCACTCTCACTGGCCGTATCTCGCAACCACATAGCAAGATCGAGCGAATCATAGCTATATAGATGCGGATTTTCATTTTTAAGATAATTTCGCGACGGCTCTATAAAGGTGTCGTTAACCAGAAGAACACATTTCATAATATTATCCGGGTCGTAATTTCGTCTTTTGCCTGGCCATTCGGTAATAGAGTGGATCCAAGGTATTTACAATCGGACACTTCCTCAACCAGCAACGAATTTATAAAAAAAGGCATTTTATCAGCTTCTTGTATATAAGACGAAAAGAAATTTTCGTTTTATTTACATTGACCCTGAGCCCGACTGAACCCCGAGTTTTTTCGTCTCAGCTGCTGACATACTGTTTAGCATTATTTAAATTTCATCATAACTAACAGCAAAAAAAGCTATATCATCAGCATATTCAAGATCTGTGATATTGTGCTGTGGACTACCTTGTATACCTCTTGAATACCGCCAAGCATTTTCCATTATCCAGTCTATCGCATAATTGAATATTAAATATTGTAGAGGAAAAAACCCAGCTTTGATGGACACCATTTCATATTTTGAAAGAATCTATTAATTCCTCAAATACATGTCGTACGCTGATAAAATGCCTTTATGTCAAATGATCTTTAAAACGCCGTCGCTTTCCATCGTCTTCCACAGCGCTATTTTATCAATTGAATCGAAAGCAGCCTCAAAGTCGAGTTTAAAAAATTCGATATTAAGAAATATTTAGCAGATCATAAAAATCTTGTTACCTGATCTTTTCTGCTTCTTCTCTGCGATCAACGTTTCCTATACTACCAATGCATAACCGTTGTGTCGTATTAGACCCAAATCCACCATCAATGTGAATTGAGCTACATTTGGCGATAAAGCTTTCACCGAGCTTTGTACCATATTCATGATAAGTGATCGCACACCAATTAACATTACCTAAACATACTGCATTGAATGAAGATTTTAAATTAACCGAAATTATGCATTTTTATCTCGAAATATTTTTTAAATGGTAATTTTTAAATTTTAAATGCTATGAAACCAGAAGTAACCCAATCATTTTGTAAAAAATCACTGCATATTGAAATAATCAAATTAAAAGTCCGATAAATTATGCTAAAATCCAATGACAATTTTAATAAACTAGGAATTAACAATGTAAAACTAGTACCAAACCAAAAACTCAAAAAAAATGATTCAAATGAGACATTCAAATAAAATTAAAATTTAAAAAATAGGCATTATATAAATTTAAGCAAAAAATGGTGAACAAAATGATATCAGATATAAGAGATGATCACTAAATTTTTCACTGAGAATTTCATTAATTGTTATTTTGTAGAATATTTATCATGAAATAACTAAAATCCCACACAGTTGAAAATTACTTACGAGGTAATGTGGAAATTAACGATGGTTCATTTAAATCTTTGGCTTCGTGAATTCCACTAATATTCCCAACAAATGCCGAATCAGCCGACAATCCAGAAACTAAATATATATAGCATATTTGACTCCCCTCTTTTTAAAAAAAATTTTCAAATTTTTGCAAAACAAAAATTTAAATTTATCATATATATTCACCTAAAATACTCTATCAATTTTTTTTTAAAAAAATGAGGAACAAATAAAACCAGTGAAAGAAATTATTCTTCAATAGTTAATCGATAAGTTAAGTTAAACTGATAATTACCTGTAGACTGAAAACTGTTTGCATCAGAGGATTGCATTAGCACGAGATTGCTTAAAACCGGTTCCGCAGCAGTTGAACTAGATAACGCTTCTTGTTTTATACGACTATCGAAATTTACTCTTTCTTCTAGAAAAAAAGATTGTTAATTGATGCATAAAAATAAAATAAATGATCATTAAATGAATTTCAAAAATTCAAAACCTTTTTTATTCTTTCCATATTGGACAGCTGAAGAAGGCAGATTTCTAAAAGCAAGACTTTCTGTGTCGATCGTACGACGAGTATTCCTATTAATAAATAATCTTTTATAAACAAGAATAAAGTATTAAATTAATTAATATTTAATTAATCATATTCTAATTGTGAGAACTGGAGTAATAAATTTTAGAGAACTTTAGAGAATTTTAGAAAATCTTAGGAACCACAAGATTTTTCAAATTTAATGATAATAACAATTATGATAATAACAATTTAATGACAATAATAACCACCAATAAAAATTGAAAATACTGTTGAAACACTTAAAAAAATAAATCACTTCAGAGATTGGTCTCCAACACTTTTTGGTGATGAATTAGAGTCTTCAGTTGATGGAACACTATCAAGTCTCAAATTAGCCAAATCAAGTGAACCAATAACAGGTGGCATTACCCGATCATAATGATATGGATTTACACATACCTGAATAAACTGATCAAGTAGGAAAAAACCCTTTCCAATCAATAAATTTCCAATCAAAATGTGCTATTAACCAAAATTCACCAAATCTCCTTTCAAATCAAATGCGCTTCCACATATTGGCAAATGTTTTAATTCATTTTTATGTAAATCCGGCCAACGCCATATTCTAGCATAAACTACATGTGGAAAGCCTTTACGACCAGCAACCTAAAAAAAATTTGACCGAATATGAAAAGCCAAAATTATTTACATCAAAATTATTCTGATCACGAAACTCAAAATAAACAAAAACAAAAATAAACAAAAAAAATTGTACGAATTGATAAAAAAAAATTAGACATATAATTTCACCGCTAGTGCGCAATCAATATGAATAAAAACTGAACTGAATCTTTACTTTTCAGATCCAAAAGAATTATTCATATTCATTATTTCGCAAAAAGTATAGCGATTTCAGAAAATGACGAAAACATAATATCGCCGTCTTGCTAACTAATAATTATAGAAACAGTATGATAAATAATTAGAAAATATAATAATAAAAAATTAGCACTATTAGGAATTACCATTGAATTATTGGCCAAGAAAAGAGAACGATAAGAAAAAATGAAGGATGCGAAGAAAAGAAAAGGGAAAGAAGGAAGTAAAAAGGAAACAACAAGAGAATCTCTCATTTGCGCAATACTTATAACTGAAATGAACCTTTTTATAATTTAGATATTTTAGAGAATAACAAAACCTGTAAACGACCATCCAGTGTTCGTTGTATGGTGACACATTTTGCGGAGGATTTACCAAGCGAGGTCACAGCAGTAATTAATGCGTCTAATTCATCTCGTTTATCTTTCAATTTTTTTATTAAACTCTCGACTGCCTTGCGACTAAATTCCTCTTCACGACCCTTCAAAAATATATTAGAATTATTTTTATTAGAATTAGAATTATTTTACTCCACAAATTTACTTAATTTAAAGTCGAAAATTATGCTAATGTCCGAAAATAACAATGATAGCTATTAAAAATGCAATAAAATCTAAAAATCTAAATCTTAATTTCTCTCATCTATAAAAAAATTTTGAAATTAAATCGAAATTTCCACTAATGAATTCCCACTATCCTATGGTAATGTATAATATTAACCAAAGACCATGCGCCAATTTTTCCTTTTTCCGTTCCTCTTCTTTCGCTCCTGCATCATTACTTCTTTTAACAATCATTGACAACAATTTTTTTTTTGTACGCTCCATAACTGTCTTAATCTTATTAACTTCACTTCCACAAACTCAGCCATCGTTCAGCCAACTCTTACTGGCCTAAAGGCCTCATGCAAAACATTCTCTACCGGTAGAAAAAAAATTTAAAAGGAAATTTAGAAATAATAGTAAAGAAAACCAGTACAGTATGAAATCGCATAAGCCATTTGGTTATAGTTGCACATGCATCTGAACTACTTGGATGTTGATTCGATAAAACGACAGTTTTTCCATTATTTTCTTCGCATTTTATTTTCTGTTTACAGTTCGCATCAGGAATATTTATTCGAGGAGAAATTTTATAACAGTTTTCTTGACATTCTGCAACTTCAGACGCTACTGAAACCACGGATGAAGTAGCAATTGGCATCGACGCCGCGAGTCGAAGATGTCCTTGTATTCTATTTTTGTCAGCTGTTATCTCATCTTTTCGTTCCTGTTTCATAGTTTTTTTGTCAAGTGATTTATACGAATTTTGAAATAATTTTATACATCTAAAAAGAATTATACACAAATGACAATAACAACAATCTACAATTGACAGTTGGCATTAAAATAATTACTGCTACAAAATCTTCTACATGAAATAGCGCCACAGTTGTATAACTGCATTACTCTAAGCTCTACTCGCCAAAATATTCGAGCATTTTGCGATAAAAATCGTTGTAAATCTACACATAATGCTAGCAGGATAGTCGAGTAACTAATGCTCGAATTGTCATCCCCAGCGTCACAGTTCGGAATATCTCCAGCAGAAATGGATTTTAAAGTAGGGCGGTGCAAGCAACCCATTTACCTTCCATCTCCACACAACTGACGAAAGAAAACAACTTGATCAATTTCGATCGAACAAAGAAATTAAATGGTAGTATAATTAAATATTCTTGATGATCAAATAATAGATGAAGGTTGATAACTACAAATTCTTGCTTACCTCCGATATAACAAAATAAGCCAACCCAAAACCAACGATCTAATACAAATTTAAACAACATTCCACGCACATTCAACACTAAGCACTACTAATTTATAAGAATAAAATTTACAAGAATAACAAGAATAAAATACAAAACTGAATCCCTTAAGGACCTACAGTAATCATACAATCGCTTCGAGGCCCTAGAATCCAAATTATTTCAAACCACCCACAAGCCTGAAAACTCTCCGGTGCTTTTCATCAAATTTCTTGGAAAATGATAAAGGATGAAAAATATTTTATTAAATTTGTTTGTAATCATGTAATCACTAAATCACTAATTTTCATATATGCACTCTAAAATAAAAGTATAAAATAACAAATAAATTGAAAATAAATTGAAAATTAAAAATACAACGTATTACATACTGATAATTCATTAAGGAGAAATTAATGAAACACTTTTTTCTTATGAATGATAGTAATAGTCCATTAGATATAGCAGAACCATTTAAACCACACTATCGGGGTAGAGTCGCTTAGCTGGAGAGTGCTAATGGCTATAATAATTATTCGCAATTATTCATATATGACTGTAATAATTATTCAACAGTAAATACGTTTTAATTCAGAGAAAAAAAAAATATCTTCAGCAATTTCATTGTGAAACTAATGGAGAAGATTAACAGAAAATTTTAAACTAAAAATTCAAAGAAAAGGCATCCAACCAACAAACATTCGAGCAAGATTTTCCTTATCAATCGCTTCATTTATCAAATGTGACACCTTAAAATTTATATGCAAGTTGTCATATCTTCAAATTTTTAATATAATTGCATAACATGAATAAAAGCCATTTTTACAAGAAAGCAGAAATTATTTACGTGTTGATGAAGGTCCATGTAAACATGTTTTCAATTCCCGCCAACTTATCGCGAAGTCGACAAACGGCAAGCGTTGAAAAATAAATTTGCTCTTCACAATCACTATATGGGGATAAAGAATCATAAAGCAAGACTGATGCAAGACCAATCAAAGCCTAAAATTATGAAAATATGAGAAATATAAAATGTGAAAAAGCACAAAAGATGATTTTTTTAAAAGAGTCCTCACCATTACTGGTTAGACTCACTCCGCTGGTTTATCGTACTGGCCAAATATTCCCTGGCGACGGAATTACGAGGAACTTTCCAGCATCACCCATATTTTCCGACAGGTTTATTCCTGAGGTTTACAAATGTGAGGTTATTTACATATCAATATACGTTCAATTAAAGGAATTTTTCTAATTAAAACCTAAGAGTTTTCTTTTAAGCGTTCCATGGCCTGTACTCCAACAGTTTTAAAAACCTTCCACTGATTCCTTCTACACAAATAGAATCAATTAAATCACGTGTTAAACGGAAAGGAATGAGCTCGGAAAGTGGGAGAGAAATTAAATAAAAAATGCAATTATTAAAAAATGAAAATAGTTTTGAACTTCTAATTTTACCACTTTTTGCTTATGTACAAAGTAATATTTAAATATTAAAAAAAAAATTTCTTTGCATGGAAAGTTGAAAACACAAACCTAAATCAATATGAACAAGTTGAGCAGTTTTCAAATCAATGAGAATATTATTAAAATGACGATCACCAAGACCAACCACATAACAAACTAAAAGAAATGTAAGTGAAAGTAAGGAGTGAATTAGAGAATATACGTTCCGGATAGGGCCCAACGATCTAATCAAAAAATAAAAATCAATTAGAAAAAAAATTTGGTCATATCTTTCCGACTTTTTAAACGACAGGATAATTGAATGATTTGTTCAGATCACCATGTTAACAGGGAAAGGTTTGCTTCTTGCTCCTGGAAGGAGTGAAAGCCATTAAAAGATGCAGCTAAATTGACGATCCAGCTATCACCAGGTGATCTCATGGGAAAACTTTCTAGCTGCGTCAAAATTTAGTAAACCTGATCAAAAACAATAAGTACCAATTATTTCTTTTACTTTCCAATCATTGTAAAATATCCCATTTGTTAATATTACCAGTAACTACATATGGCCGACCAATGAGAGGAAAAATATGAAAATTATGAAAAGTTAATAATTAACCGATTCACCAATGTGCTAAAGTAATCATGTAATTAAGAACGTGTCGTCGCCATTCGACTGAATCATAAAATCGTTCATGAAAGAAATATCGAAAAACAGATCGAATTCGATTGCAAATTCTATCAAATGCAGCAACCAAATTGCCAGATTGTTTACGCACCTGAAGCCACATAATGAAATAAATAACTTTCATGCTTTAAACTAAAATTTAGCACTTACGTTAGCCAATTCAATACGCGCATCATGCGCTGTCATATCGGAAGGATAATATTTTTTATGAGAACCACTGCGATGATCACACCCGCAAAGATAATCACCTGGAATAGCTGTTAATAAAAATAATTCATCCGTTTCAAATTTTTTTTTTTAAGAGTCCCCACCATTACTGGTTAAACTCGCTCCACTGGTGCTAGGGAATCTCTTGGCAATAAAAATACAGATGAGTCGTCAGCCACAGGATAATCACCAGGATTTTTTTACAGCTTTACTCCTGCGGAGAATAGAACCTCAGCACCGGCGCTCTCAACTGAGCAACAATTCACTGAGCCATTCTATGCCATCAGCTGCATCTGCCAATTATTAAAAACGAAAATTTCAAATTTCAAATGTTCAAAATGTCATAGAGCAGCTTTGTTATTCCAGATATTATGGCACCTAATATTTTATAATATAATATTTTAAAGCCAACCGATCGTTCTTTAATAAATAGATCATTGAAAAAAAACGTAATTCAAAGATCTGCAAAAATAAAATACTACACTGAAACAAAAAAATACATAATGACATTGTATCAAGGCAATATTCAATAATTACCGCATTTGGACTGATAGGAAGAAAACATGATATGTACGAAGAGATACTGGTTTACTTTTTTCATTTAGAAGTAAATTAACAACTGCAAAAAATTGCTCAACCAATGAGTCTTGACGTAAATCCTCATTCTAAAAAAAAATTGAGAGACAAGATTATCGACATAAGATTAGGATAAGGCATGAATATAAAAAAAATTTTTAAAATGAAAAATTTTCTTTTTAATTTAAATGAAAAATTAAAATAAAAATGGTTTTAAAAAAATAATAATGGACCTTAAAAATCAGTTTACGCGAAACGCCATCACTACGTGTCACTGTTATAATCGGTTGCGATAACCCGTCTTCAACTTCAATTTCCGCTTCGATTTTTATGAAAAGAATCATTTCATTAATATTTCCAGTTAGCTAAAAAAACAAATAAAATAATGAAAAAAAAGAAATATTCAAAAAAATCTTACCGGTTGTGTTATGGCAGGAATAGGAATGGATCGAAGAAAGGCCATATTATTTATAAGGATGGAATGGTTCAACATTTCAAAAATCCTTTCTGAAAAAATTGGAGAATTATCAGGAATTTTTCAACAAAGATAAAAACAATTTTCCACAGAATTAGGTATAGTAAAGAAAATAATACAAGCGAAGATGGCCAATGAATATTTAAAAATTACTATCAATTGCTTCGAAATCTTCAACATTTTTTTTAGCGAAATCACTATACAATTTGAATGCTTTTTTCGCTTTAGTAATAATATTTTTATAAGATGGATTAGCATCGATAAACGTCTGAAGAACAACTTTTCGTTTTCTGATCTAAAAGATTCATTTCATTCAAAAAGAACAGGAAAGGATTTTAATATAATTCCGTACGTTTAGAAAATTAGAAAATTTTTATTCACATTTTCATAGATATCATTTCATTTAGAATAATTTTTTTTTAGATACAACAACCACTGAAACTTATATTTAAAAAACATTTAGAGACCATATTTAATATAAAATTAACTTGAAAATCAAGAATTAAACGATTCTAGATTCATGAAAAAAAAGACTGAAACGAACCTGCAAATTTGGATCTGCTTTGCCAATATTGACATAAATAAGAAGGTGATTCAAAGCGTGGAACGGAAATTCTTTCAAAATTAACAGAAGAATCTAAATTGACTATAATAGGTAAAAAAACGTCGAGAAAAATATTGAGGTAAAAATAAGGAGATAAGACAACAGAAAACCATTAAGATACAATAAATTACATTACAGCTGAGTTTAAGAGGATTAGTATAAAAAAGCTCAAGATAACTTTACTTAAGAGTCATGGCAACGGCAGTTTGTGAAATGGTAAAAAGAAATAACCAGGTGAATGTTAAGATGGCATTCTGAGGAAGTTAGACAAATATGAATTTGTCGATACAAAAGAGAATATTACTAACTGGCAAAAAGTTGGCATTAAACGAAACACAAAAGAAAAATAACATGGTTTTGGGGATATCAAGAGAGCATTTAGATCAATTAACAATTAAGGCTTCACAAAATATGATGGATTTTTAGCGATATCAAAGAATTTCAATTCATTACGGATATTTCAGTTTGTGACTGCGTTTTTCCTGAACACTAAGAAAATTATGTAGATGAATTATCTTACGACTAAAACTGAGATGTGCTGTAAAATAACATGCTATGCTATAGATAACTAACATTTTGAACTAAAATAAAGAGTGGCGAATCATCAAAAAAATGCGAACACAAATGATTGAGTAAAGGCGCCCAATGATAAACTGGAATACGGTATAAGCGCTCCTGAAAGATTTCCATCAATTTTCAATATACGCAAAAAAAAACATTCTAAAATTTATCTAATAAAATCTATTTTTAACATTGTTAGATCAAGAAATATAATACAAAAAAATAAACTAGTCGTATATAAAATATGACAGGTTTTTTTAATCCAAAGAAAGTAGCAAATAGTGCCTGAATTATTTGAAGCAAATCTTTTTCAAATTTAATCTTCACCAAAATTGGTAGCAATTGATAGGGTATTTCATTAATCTTTGATGATCCTAGTTCCAGAATTGCCAAGTAAGATTTTAAAGAGATCATTATCTAAAAATGACGAGAAAAAAAAGTATATAAGAAAAAAATCTGAAATATTGGTCAATGAGAATAGTAATCAATATAAATATTCATTATCAGCGATTGAAAGAGAAACCACTGACCTGACGTCTTCTTTGAAATAGTGCATATCCGTTTCCTCATAGGCTTTTTCCATAACTATACGTCGCTCTTCGATGATTCTTTCACGCGATAAAATTTGACCTCTGCTAAAATTTTTTTGGTATTGAAAAATATTTTAAATAATGACAAAAAAATTCAAAGCTCTAGAGAAATTTTCTAAATAATCTATTAGATCCACACCATTTAGCTGATGATTTTTGCAGTGATATTTGTTGATATGTCACACCAATTTTTGATAGCATTTTCTTTAACTTTATAAGCGTCTGATGAACGATATTCCTCCAAAGTTAGATATTTGTTTTGGGCATAAAATGCCAATTTTCGATATGTTTTTTCTAAGGCTTCTTTTTCTAAATAATTCAGACGACCTTTGACAAGCTCCACTGCCTAAAAAATCTTATTCTTATCTTATTTTTAAAATCTAAAATCTTACATAAAATCTTAAAATTAGGACACCAATGACAGCACCTTTTCATCTGATTCTTTATGATATGTACTTGTTTTAAATTAGTTATTGCGAGATCAATGCGAAATGCTTTGAAATCAAATTCCGCAAGCAAAGTTAAGTATAAGTTCGACATTGGCGGTTGGTGAAATAGTTTCATTTTCATCTATAATTTCAGTGAGAATGCTTCTTGCTAGCACTTCTTGGCCACAAATTTCAAATATTCTCGCTGGTTCAATATCACAAGCAAATAAACCACTCGCTGAACCATTCGCAGAAAAACGATCACGGAATTTCTCAATAAATCGAAGCGCAGGCTAAAATCGAAAAATAAATAAATGAAAGTGCCGAAAATCTTGTTAACAATACGGAATTACCTCATATGCTTTGATAGAACAAAGTCTTTGAATATTTTGAATATTTTCAACAGAAAAATCAATTATTTTTGAAGACAATTCAGTATTGAATGAATTGGTGGCTGCACAACTATAGCGAAGTGATGAATTTCGCGGCAAATCGTGAATCGTGAATGAATAATTCCAATATATAACTTTCCCTCACATATATTAAATCTTTTCGATCCACAATATTACAGTTAACAATACGTTTTATGCAAGCATTTCTGAATAAAAAAAACCGATTATTCCATTAAACTACTTTTAAAACAAATTTATATTTAAATAGGCTCTTTTTCTTTACCGCAAATTCACTGCTAAAGATTGCGAAAGAGTATGTTCACCACGTTGACGAGCGAAGAGCATGGAATATATATGCTGCCCATAACAAAAGAATGGTTTACTGAAAGAAAATTTGGAAATATTTTAATTCATATAGGAAATAAGAAACGTAAAAATAAACAGAAAAGCAGATCAAGACTACTTCATTGCAGAAAATTTGCATAATTTAATAATTTTTTTATTGAGAAAAAAATAAATAGCAAACAGCACCTTTTTGGATAGCTAAGTATATCCCATTCACAAAGTTCAGCTGCAGCAGAATACTGCACTTCTGGAACAAGGTCATCCAATGAACAACCACTATAAAACATGGCTTTCGAATGAAGAACAGGATCTCTCGAAGGACCACTGATTGCTGCTAAATTTGCCACCGCATGGAATATTCAGCTAACAACAATCGACACTTCAAACAAAATATCTGATATTTGTCACTATTTGAAAGAAGTGGAAGAAGTGTAAACTTGTTCCTTATTTTAATGCATATTTACTTATAACAAGATTGCACTCTTTAATGATAACACACGAATCGAATCAGAATCACAAAGTTTCGAAAGCACTTCTATAAAAAGTTCCCGACATCTGTCATCGAATATTTGAATTAAATATGTCAAAAATACTTTTTAGATCGCCCAATGAATAAAGAGATGAACGAAATTCGTTGGTCAATCTTAATCAATTTTTCATTCATTTTAAGGAATATTTTAATATTTTTAAGAAATATTCTAAAAAAAGTTTATTCAGTAAACGAATTTACAAATGAAATCGAATCGAAAATGAAAAAGCAATCAAAATAAAGAGTTCCACGTAAACAGCTCTCCCATTCCATCTAATACTGCTACTTATAATCACTAAAAAATATAGCACTCATTAAACTTACGAATCGATATAAGAACGTATAGCGTAATATGCATCATCAAATAATCCAGATTGCATACAGGCAGAAGAAAGAACTAATAAATCAATTGGAAAGTATTCCTTCAATTTTGTTGAGGCAGGATTTATATTCAAACCGCTAACGGATATGCTGAAGAAAAAATGCTATCAAAGAAATGACGAATTCTCCGTTATTAATTAGGTTTCAAAGATTTTTCAAATACCAAATCAATATCAAATCAAACTTTGTATTGTATGGTTTTTCAACAATAAATGCTCACCTTTCGAAAAATCACATTTATCTCTTAAAGCTGAATTCACTTTGCTGCAAAAATAGATAAGCGATGATTTTCGTTCAGATTTAAAAAACTTTTCAACAAGAAAAGGTAAAAAAGAGATGGCGAACCATTCCTTGAAAATACAAAAATTTATTTAAAAAGAATCAACATGAACCAAAAATATTGTTGTATTTAACCAATATACAAATAAGAACCTAACCATATGATTAGCGATAATTAATAAATTCTCCATCTCCGAAAAATCATAAAAGATAAATTCAGCAATTCTGAGATAAGTTCACTCAAAAAGCCAGTGACATATCTGGATGATTCTTTGCCTGTAATGTACCCAACATTCAGCAGAATTTCCACCATTTAAAATTTAAAAGCTGTTGTGCTCAGAAGATTGTGAAACTCAGAAGAATGGTGAGAAACAGAATGATTTCTTATCTTAATGAAGAACAATCCAATTAAAATAAAATGAAACAGAAATGAAGTGCACTTCTGAAGCATTTGACCGATAACTCACAAAATAAACCCATGGAAACTGAATGATTGATGTACAAAACCATTTTGATGATAAAACATTACAAAACATTGCTTTCATAGACGAAAATCGGTAATGTTTTACTGAAAAAAAATATTTTATTGAAAAAAATTTAGTAAAATAGGTAGTAAACGAATAAATCTTCCCAGATATAAAAAAAATTTACCTAAAATTGAAGCGTGAATCTAAAATATCTAAAATAAAACAAAGATTTACAGAAAATAAGCAATAATCAAAATTGAACATGCTTAGTTTAAAATAAATGGCATTTTCAAAACTAACAATGGATCAATAAAAAGTTCTATCAAAGAATATAAAATAAAATCCTCAATAGTTTGTTCATAGTTTGTCGAGTAAATCGAACCAGGTGTTAAAGGAGATGTTGTTGATAATATAAAAGCAATATATCTTCGAAAAGATTCATAACGTCCCCATATACGCATAAGTTGCTGCGTATCTATGGCTGGAAGGATGAAAATAATATAAATCATGAAGACGACAAGTTTGTAAAAGCTTTGCAAAATCTGAGTGCAATTCATTAAAAAACCTTCTATCTCATTCTTCTCGATTAGATTTATCTGATATTTCCAGTAGCCTTCAGCAAACATAGAACCTGGCATTGGTTTTTTCAACAAATCCTTGAACAGAACAATAATTAAATAAATTTTTATATCTTTAATATGAAAAACAAAAATTCGAATCCAAACACAAATTTCATTCATTTTGCTTCATTAGTTAAAAAAATTTGGAAAAAAATAAAAAGTTAACTCCTAATAGTTCCGAGATCACTGTAAACAAGACGATCGTTACAATAATCGGAAATGTATTGAAGACGACGCAAAAGACCTATAAAATCATTTAGGAATACATCGAACACAACAAAGCATAACTGGGAAGTGATTAATTCATCTATTTCCATTAATCGTTCGAATATTATCGACCATTCGTTTAGCAGCACATTTAATTTGAGTTTTCTAAATATAGAGAATTCTATATTAATAGTGAAATAACGACAATCTAAAAAAAAATAAATCAAAATTATGAATATCGATTCGAACCCACGAAATTCTACATAACTTCTAGAAGCGACTGATGCAATGGAGATACAGTTATGGATAATGAACTCCTTTAATGAAAATCCTCCTCAAAGAAAGATCGCTTAAGCCTAAAATAAAACCATATATAAATATATACATATATATCTGTTATATATATTATATTATCTGTTACTGGAAATTAAATTAGAAACTGTTAATATTAACAAAAACTGGATTTTTTAATTCTTGTCAACTCGATGCTGACTTACTTAAAATCTTAAATCTTATACATAATTTCGATTGTAATTCTCGAGCAAAAAAGGATTGAAAAATTTCAGCATCTTTCTTAAAATTAAAAAAATCGGGATTGTTTTCACAATCAAATAAACTTACGTTCTTTCTTCAACCAAAAATAAATTGAATAAAAACGAAATATGATCAAATTTCTCGCTACTGAAACTACTTGACAGCGAATTGGTAAAAAATCTGTGCCCATTCACAATTTCCATCAACAAACTATAATAAAAAAATTCAGAAAAAGTAATAGAATGCTATTTCTATTAATCACAAAGCGAATCTTCCTCTTCTAACAGCCCTTATCATTACTGATTAGGCTGCACCACTGGCTACAAGGGTAATCTCTAACCATTCGATCTGATGCCATCGCTGATAGTAATAAAAATCATTTTTTTTTCCTCGTCTAAGTCCATATATCGCTGATTCCTCAAAACATTCAAAATCTTTCTTAGCTATATCAGCCTATGTCTTAATTGGTTCATCTCTGATGTAATTCGGGGTTTACAGGTTTTATCACAGAGTTTGCAAGTAAAAGAATGTGTGATGGGAGACGAAGAAAATGCTTTAACCAGTGAAGATGACGTTCTGTGATGGTAGTGTGATGGTAGTTAATGCAAGCGATATTTGAGCGAAGATAGATACAATCTGAGATTGTATCCTCGATGGAGCCGTAAAATGAACCTTAGACATGATTGGTCAAAGATAATTTAATATCCTCCATTTTCATCGGCAAGCCATATATCAAGATAACTATATAGATGCGGATTTTCGTTTTTATAGTGATTTCGCCACGAGTCCATAAAGATTTATCAACCGGAAAAAAGTATTTCTAGTAGCCAGTACCTTTTTCCGGGCCATAATTTTGTCTTTCACTTGGCCAATTGGGATTAGAGTGGATCCAAGGATCCAAGGTATTTAAAATTTTGGTATTTAGTCAACCGGCGATGAATTGACAAAAATAGGTATTTAATCAGCTTCTCACTTTTAATACATAAAGATTTTATATTGACATTGAGTTTGATCGCTGCTGCAGTTACTTCTTGGCATTATTTACATTTCGTCATAACTGTCAGCAAAAAAGGCTATATCACCAGCGTATTCAAGATCTGTGATAAAATACTCCAGACATCTCTAGAGTACCAATAAGTACACAGGACACAGCCTTGATGGACATCAATTCTTATTTCGAAGGAGTCTGTTAGTTTCCCAAGTACACAGACCTGTGCTACAAATGCCTTTATGAGTCGAATGATCTCTAAAGCACCGTCATATTCTATCACTTTCCAAGGCACTGCTCTATCAATCGAAGAGAAGGAGCTATAAAATCGAGTGACGGTGAATTGTAGATATTTAGATAAAGCGATGTTTCAACACCCTTAACCTGAACATTTGGTAAGCACAATTACATCCATGTCTAAATCCAGCTTGACAGGAGCATTCTGCATAATCTAGTAATGTCTATTTAACAGGAGAGAAACAAAAGTTCTCCTAGAGATCTCTAAAAGGCTGATTCCTTGATATTTTTCACAGTATTCCTGTCACTTTTTCTAGAAATTAAAAGCAGAACTGCTTTGTTCCAGTCATCTGGTATTATTTCATTCTTCCATACCAGAGAGTATATTTGTTGTTGATATGTAGGACGACACCATTACTATCTCGTCATTTCACTGATTGTTTTCCGAGTTTTCGCTGCTTTCGTTTTCGTTAAGGCGGAATACTTCCTTATTATCAAAGTTATCGAAGGGATAATCAAAACAGGTCAATTTTGTTATATTAAGGGCCCACTCTCATCATATTGGTTAATAATAGACTAATTCATTGCTGGCTTTTAAGCTGAGATGGCTTAATGCATGTGGCTAGAACTCATCATTTCTGATCGGACTCATTAGACTCGCTATTGCGAGAATGGGATAGTTTTACGAGTTATTATTTTACTTAAGGAATTACTTTGAGAAAGAGCGTTATCGCCTAATCGAGCCGCCATCTCCATTTTCAAGGTAATATCAATGGCGATCTCCATTCTCCTTCTGCTGTCGCTGTAATCCTCCGAAGCAGGAGAGAAACAAGATCCGTTGGTCAAGATCCCCCTGACATTCATGTTTTGCCAGCCTTTTAAGATAGCTGGACAAATGCTTCAATACACCACTAGTGCATTTCTTATTAGCATATCCTAATGTGGAAATGCTAACTTTCGAAGACTGGGGCCAGTATTCATCCGCCATTCCAGAGATGTCACTATGAGATGCTTCCATAATTTGGTTCGAAGTGCACTTACAGTCCTCGAATCTTTTTAATTCAAGATAGTTGAAAGACGTTTCTTGCGATTTTCTTTGTGCGAATTTTGGTTCGAACCATAACATGGCCAAATCCATAGATATTGTCCGTCTCAGTACCTCAGTAGGAGCGATCGTCCAGTAAAGAATTTCCAATGATAACCAACTAGAAAATAATCAATCTGGTTACAGTGCTGGTCATCTAAAGAGTTCCGTGTATTCTCCGATGCCGGAGCATAGTAGCAAAAAATTCATGCTCGGCAAAACGAAGAACATATTGGATCGTATCGGACCGCTGTGCCGTATTTACCAACCATCAAGTGGCGGCATCGTGAATCTGCGCGTGCATTCCAGTCTCCTCCGATCAAGTCACTTTTCGGTAGAGATATTGTTAGTTGAAGTTCCCTATAGAACTTATCCCTATCGCACTTACATTTAAAGCTGGAGCATATACAGTGATAACCGAAATATTCCAGAAATTTCCCTTTGAAATGCTCGTAGGCAATATAGTCATCTACTGGCTTCCACCAAATCAGAGCGAATCGAGCCTTTTCAGATATAATAGCTATGCCATTTCGACTCAAGTTATCCTAAGCACCACAGTGATACAGCTAGCATCTGTTTTCTGTTCACAGAGTTAATAATTACTTGTAATGAGGAAAAAAGACCTCCGATAAGCCAATGACATCCACACAATATTTAGTGTGATCGCTTGGCCTGTAACGTCCATAAACGTTCGGGCATTCTACACTACTACGGCGTTTGCAGCCATTTCATTTGACAGGCTTCGAGTTAATTGCACAGATATTCAAGCCTTGAGGTCAATTGCATACTTATCGAATATCACCGGGCTGGGAGCATCATGGGCACCAGACACCGTGTCAAGAAGACCTGACCCATTTACTATAGCGTTACTTGGCATAGATATAGTTACAGGTGGATCCTTAATAGCCATTCGGATTTTTGTTGTCGTGACAGTTTAACTTTTGTCAAAGATAAAGATAAAAAAAATGGAAAAAAAATAAATTAAAGAAGAATTAAAGATGGAAAATAAACTAGAAAATATAAAAAATTGTTTAAAAAATGTAATGCTACTAGATATGTACATTATAATTTAATCGATTTGATATAAAATTTATTTCAATTTTATAATTTAATCGATTTGATATAAAATTTATTTCAATTTTTTGTTTGAAAAATTTTCAAAAAATTTAAGAGAACTTAGCTGAACTGAATTGCAGGAATTGAGAAATAATTTACAAAAAAAAATTAGGAATAATTTTTGAAACAACCAGTCGTTAACAAAAATTTTAAATATGTCCAGAAATTCTTTATTTTTCAATTTTCAAATTATTTTTGTCAAAACAAAAATTTTCTTATTTGATAAGGCTAATACCAGCGAAACAACCTTAATATATTATTTGGCAGGAAATCTGATGATAGCGGCTGGCAATTGTTTTTTTCAAAAAATTTGACAATTGGTTGAGCGAATAATATAATCAATTCATCCAGATCCGCGATCAGAAATTTTAATATCTTAAACGCAATCGTTATGCAAATAATTACGATAGAAAAAGTTTTTAATTGAAAAAATCCAAAATTTTAATAAGAATATTTAAATCTTTGGAAAATCATACTTTATACAGAGAATTACTTCCAAGGTCAATTAAATATGAGAAAATACGAATATGAATATCATGTAGCAAAGGTGGTTCCAGTAATTTATAAGTAACAAAGGATAAAATTTCTGGAATTCCTTCTCGCAAAGTCATTTGTAAAATTTCATTATCACGCATCCAAACTGGATCATACCGTAGTGCCAGCAATAAAGTTGATCCTTTTGTTAATAATTCGCGATATTTCTTCAGATCGTCAATCTTTTCAAATTTTTGAAAAAAAGTAAAAATTTACTGAATAGCATGGAAATTGATTGAAATCGGAAGATGGAAAAAAAATTAATAAATCAAAAAACTTCATAGCTTTAAAAAATACCATAAAATGAATAAATCGCATCTGCTACCATATTTTCTTTTAAAAATAAATCCGTTATAGGTTTTCGAGATGAAAAATTAGAATTAAATTGTATAGCCGATTCCTTATGGAAAGAATATTTTTCACTGAAAGTGAGAATGTAAAAAGTGCAAAAAAGTGCAAAAAGTTTTGACTTATAACCAAAACTTGCCTCAGAAGCATTAAGAATTTTTCTTTGATAACATCATTTGAACTCTTTGCAAGAGTTTCAAATTAATGCTTCCCGAAATGATTGACAATTGCCGAATAATAAATTTAAAACGTTAGATGAACGTAGTTTGATATTAACTGCACCAGACTTAAGCCAAATTTTCTAAAATCATAGGTATCTAAATGGAAAGAAATAACCTCAAGAAAAAGATAGAAAATAAAAATAATTTCTATCGAAACTTTAACTGAAATTCCACGAGAAAAAGAAAATTTTTGAGAAAAATTAAAAATACACTTCAAATGAAAAGTTGGAAAAGACACAAAAGTGGAAAATTTGAGGTTAAAATAAATTTTTTATGATATAATGAAAAGGTAATTCTCATGTCTTTGAAAAACATACCAAACATGTTGGATCAATGTCGAAATCAAAGTGAATGACAAATCGTGTCAATTCCGGCAATAAAGTATATTTATCATAAATTGCATATCGTATGGAATTTGAAACAAACACCCAATCTTCTATTAATTCAAGCACTTTTACTATTTCGGTAGCAGATTGTATTATCAACATGATTTCATCGTCTAATGAAGCAAGATACTAAAAAAATTGCAAATTCATCGAAATCGCTCTAAAAATCTTGGAAAGTTTTGAAATGTATAATGGAAACAAATTACCTCAACAATAATATTCAAACTGAGTGAATTAGGGTCGTATTTTCGCACTGCTCCACAAAGAAGATGTAAGAAGACCCAGATTTCCAACCGTATAATTTCTAAGATTATAAGCCGGTTTGTTCATATGATGAATTTTTAAAATATGTGCCAAGAACTTCGATTAAAAAAAAAATAATAATAATAAAAATAAACTTTTATCAAAGAAAAATATTAAGTTTTACCTCGAATTTTAGACCCCCCATCTTTTACATCACTCCATAATTTTTTCAATATTTTAATCAATGAATTCAATATTTCCGGCACGACAAAAACTGAGTTGCCGATAGCAGTTTGAATTTGATCGCATTCTTTAACATGTTTTTGTTCGATAACCAACAATTTCATCAGTGAACGTTCTAGTTCATTGATACCTTAACATAATAGAAATTATTTTAAAAAAACGACTGAAAAGTTGACTTCATATTTCCTCAAAAATTGTACAAATTTAAATTAATACTTTTTTCCTCTCTCGATAAAATATATGATGGATTATAGTTCAAAATATGTAACAATGCTTCTGGGCACAGCGAACGGATTGAATTCGGGCTTATAAGGAAGTCTAGTAATTCACAGCGAAATCGCCACTGTTTCGGCCACTTTACGTCCCAGAGCCTTAAATAATATTCAACAAACGATTAAAATGAATGAAAAAAGTTGGGAAGGTTATTTAATGTAATTCTTCTCAATAATTTTTGCCCAAAAATTTCGAAAGAAAAAACAAATAAGAATACATTAGTTCAGCATTTAATCTAAACGAGCTTCTCTCGTCGATATCGAAGTTACTGATATTACTGATAATAACCGCGAGTAATTTCACTAAGTCTGAAGAAAATGAATTAAGTCGAGCTACACTGGCCACAATTGATTCAGTCAAACTAAGGTCATTAAGTGACAATATTTTTGCACCTAAAAAGTTTCAAATTACTGAAATAATAGCGAAATCATTAGAAAATTTTCTATAAATATGTTGATTTCAAAATTTTCACTTCAATCGACACAATTTGATTTTAATTTTCTAAGCAAAGTATATAAAAATTTGCTAAAATTTAGAATAGAAAAGAAATAAAAAAGCTGAAGAGGATGAATAATGATAATTTACATGGTACTGCAATAACTGAAATAAGGCGAGCAGCGGCATCAGATACACGAGGGAAATGAAGCATCGACAATGAAAATTTCCATAAGTCGTTACAAAGGTCTTTAGTTAGCAAGTTTTCGCTATCATTGTCAACAATAGATAGAACAGTGCGCATATGACAACAAAACAATTCTTCGCTGCAAATTTCGATGATCAAAACCGATGAAAAATAGATAAGAAAAGATCATATGCATCAACCTTTCAATACTAACTGAAAGCTCGAGTAGAATTTTGAGAATTTCTTGCTTATAATCGATCGAAAAACATTGCCGCCATCGATTAAAAATGGTTTCTGCAATTTTATACCTGAAATAAAACAAACCATCACCACCTGTCAAAAAGTATATAATAGTAGAACATATCAAAAGGATAACTTACGCAGGCTCGACGTTGCTTTCGATTAAGGACGATAAAAAAGATGATGTGCGACATCTTTTAGCAGCAGAAATAAATGGAAGTGAATCAAATAAGTGAATCAATGTGATACTACGACAAATTAATGAATAAGCACTGGAATTCAGCTTCGGCACAGGAATTTTTCTAAAAAGAGAACAAAAGAAAACTTATTTAAACTAAAAACTAGCTCCAATAATCTGAGATTACCTATATATAAATTTCCCAGGTAGACGGAACTGATCGATGTAATCTTTCACGGATATAATTACTGCGTTTAAAACAGAATCAATAATTACTGGGCATAAAGAAATTACGCAATTTGGATAACACAGTATGATAAAATTATTTATGAGATTGAAAAAAGATTCCTAAAATAAACTTTTCATCTTCTCTTTCTAAAAAATATTTTGTTGCAAAATAGAATAAAATAAAAATAAGTTTATGCTAATTTCAAATAAATTGTGTTGCCATATGAAAAAATATAAGTTGTGTACAATAATTGTGAAAAAATATAGTGGAGATTCTGGAAAAATGTGCCTGATGAAAATCGTGATTAACATTGACATCCATCAATTCATGCCTTTTCCATATAAGCGATATATTAACTGACAATAAATTCGTAAGATCAGAAAATGTCTAAAACAGAACTAAAAAATATCTAAAATATTGAGAAAGAACGCAATATAGGAACAAAACTAAAATTAAAAACTAAAAGTAATAATTAGAGATCTTTTAGTGACACCAAATTTTTCCATAACGGTACTGGCAATAGTAAATAATGTACCACAAAGTTTGCCATTGTTTGCAATTTTATTGAATGAACTGCTGAAAATTTCTAAATAAAATTGAAAAAAATTAAAATTTAGACCAAAATTTTGATTTAATTACTAGCCTAATTTATTAAAATTTGGTTTTTTATTTTTATTACTTATTTCAGAAAATTAACAATTTAACAATGTTCTTTTATTATCTATCCATTTCTTCTAATAGTTTCCCATTACTGATTAAGCTGGCTCCGTTAGTTACAAAGATAAGATAAGATGTTCGATTAGATGCTGACAGTGATAGAAATTATTCCTTTTTCCATCATCTAAGTCCACATTAGTGCCCCACCTATATTTTCAACCCAGGTTTTGATTTTGATTTCGCCTTTGATGCCATCTATCCATCATAGGGTTTAACAAGTAACGAAATATGTGTTAACTCCAATGGCCAGAAACGAAAAATGCATCAAAAAAATCAGCGAAAGTAACGTTCTATGATGGCATTATAATACAAGAGCAAAGGTGGATGCAATCATAAGAAATTTTATGCTCTACACGAATCCGCAAGATATCTTAGACATGAAGGGTCAAAAGTAAATATCAAAATGGCTTCTTAATATCCTTCACTCTCATTGGCTATGTCTCACAACCATAGAAAGATTTAGCGAATTGCTACAGACAAGGTGTTCCATTTCCGTTCTGATGGTGGTTACGATTCCATAAAGATTTCGTCGAAAAACTCTTGGAAAACTCTTTTCTAACTTCCGGTATCCTGACTGACTAATTTCATCTCTCGCTTGGCCATTTGGAATTAAAAACTTTTGGGAAACTTAACCACGATGCGCCATTTGTTATCCCGGATATAACTGATTCGACCGTCGAACCTTACGTTGGCTGCGAACCGCTAAAAGGAAATAATCTATGTAATCCATAACCTTAAGAACAATAAAACTCCCCTAGATTATCTTTCGGCCGAACTCTTTAAATGTTGTCATAATGCTTCATATCACACCTTCAACAGATCTACTCTCTGGAATGGAAGAATGAAATAATACCAGATGACTGGAGCAAAACAGTTTCGACTTTAAATATCTTCAATCCATTCTAATCCCAAATAGCCAGGCAAAAAACGAAATTATAACCCAAATAACGGTAGCTAGAAATGGTGCATTCTTCCGATTGAAACTTTTATGCAGTTCATTGCGAAATCATTATAAAAACGAATGGTTGGCCAAATTTTGATCCGCGTGCTGCAACGTTCGATCTTACTATAGGACTAGGAAGTCACATAAATCCTTTCCTCAAATACCGCTTGCATGAACTACCACCACAGATCGTCTTCGCTGGTTAGGGCATGTTTTTCGTCAGCCATTACAAGAATTGACACATATTTCATTAATAGCTAAACCTTATGATGAATGGCATCAAAAATGAGGAGGGCTAACCAAACTTTGACTGATACAGCCAGGAAAAATTTTGAACGTATAAGCGATATACAGACTTAGAAGATGGCTAAAGGAATGGCTTCTATTACTAGCAGCGAATGCATCGGATCGAACTTGGAGACCTTATAGCCAGCGCAGCCTAACCAATAATAGTAGACAGCTGTTAGAAGAAGAACCAGTTATTTTACAAAAATTTAAAATTTACAAAAAAATTACATTGCTTTTCGAATCATCGTTGTTATTTCCTCGATAAGTTTTTCACAGCGATGCATAAATACAGTAGAATACGAAAGACTTATCGCAGAAAGCATTATCTGAGCGCAGATCAAAAGAATTATTGGTTGTTCACCTTTATCCAAAGTACGACCATAAATATTTGACGCACAATCCCAAATACCTAAAAGGTTATAATTTCGATATAATTAAAAAATTTAGTAAAAGTCGATTTATTTATTATTTATTCTACTCTTTTTTTTCGTACTATTATGAAAAATTTGAAAAAATTCTCATGGAAAACTAGGAAAATACATAAATGAGAAAGCTGAAAAAAAGTGTATGCGTTGCAAATGAAATTATTCAAAAATAAAAGTGATTTGAAGAGAAACATTACTATTACTGCGGAGATGATGAACTTCTACGTCAACTAAAGTGTATGTTTGCAATATTCGCAAAAGCAATTCCAATGCATCATTTCCAACATCTGACGAAGCGAAATAACTCGTATGCAAATTAAGAATGGAAATAAGAGAGTTGGCTTGCGATAAAGACAAGTCTTTGCTGTTGAATGCTCCTGTAATCGCTCAACATTTGTAACTAAATAAACAGTCAAAAAAAGAGTAATGCGATGAAATACCTTTTATATGATGAACAGTTAATTGATGCGACAATAAAGTTTTGAAAGCACTGAAAGCGATTTTTCGCTGAATTCGATTTGCATGCATGGCTCTATTTTCGCCAATTTCCTGCAAAAAGCATCATTCCCATTCCACAGGAGAGTTCTGCCCATAAATTGCAATTCTTTGTTTTAAAGTAATTAAATATGTTCACCTTCGTCACAGTTGAAAACTTCATTAGCAATGACCAATCAAAATTTGGCGGATCATTCAATAAATAATCCAAAAAATATTCATTTTCTAATAATTCATTTGTTTTAATTAACAAATCCTAAAAGTAAGCGTTTCGACAACTTTAAAAATAAAATAAAATGATTCTGCTTCTTAACTATTGAGAATTAATGCCACTCAATTTCATAAATTTCAATAATTCAATACTGCCAGTCGAGTGGCACATTTGCTTTCAGTTGCGCCATAGTTTCGGCACGCAGTAAGAAACCTCTCATAAAATAACGGTCAAACAGCGATCGATGCCACGTGCACCCATATTCTCTCGTGAAACTCGCCCTTCCGTGAGATTCTCATGAAGGTCAGTTGAACGAACGAAAGCAATAACGGTGAGAACGGTGACTTGCTATGATTAATTAATTATAAACTATTTTATGAACTGAAGGAGAAAAAAAAAACTGATGCGTTTCACTTCTTCGTCTTCGCGTCACATATCTGAGAATACCAATTCAATAAATTAGCTGCCTGGATCTCGATTAATTGGTGTCCAATATTATCTCAACTGAAATTACGAATAATCAACACAATATGCCACGTGTGGTACTTTCACGCGAGAAGTACACGAGAGTATCTTTCTTCTTTTCCACTTCCTCCTTCATCTTTTTCCTTTTCCCCTTAATTTTCATATTTTCGGCCTATAGCCTCAATTCCTTCTGTACACTCCTGTCGCTGTACACTCCTTTATCGCCACACTATTTCGTCACCAAAAAATTAATTTTACGCCGTATTTGATGAGATTGAAAAAATCAATGGTTTAATTTAATTGACAATAAATACTAATATATTTAACGTCCCCAAAAATGGAAAATAACAATCGAAAAAATCCTTTAAAAAAACAAAATTAAAATTAAACCGAGCACGAAAACAGATGGAAACAGATCGAAATCGGAAGAATTTCGCGCCAAAATTCAAGTTCAAAAGAGATGGCCGATGGATTCCCCTTGCGGCCGCCTGGCTGGCAACAATCATTTTGATTTCGCATAACTTGGGTAATTTTGGACGGCAGTATGCGTATGATTTGCGAGAATTTTCCGGCTGCACTTTCAAAATTTGTCGCTTGGAATTTGAAAGTTTGGAAATAATTTCATTAAAATTAAAATTGGATTGGCCCGTGTGGTACTTTAGATGCCCTCGGATCAAGGTGGCGTCTCACCTCATCTTAAGAAGCATTCAACGGAGGCAGTTGAACTGGATGAGTTGAGCTGAACGAATGATATATTCACCAATAATTTTCTTTTTTTAATTTAAATTAATTTAATTTTTAAAATTAAGGACAAAAAAATTTATTGAAAAAGTTTTGTCACCAAGTCACCATTGATCATTTCGTTTGTTTTGGCTCGCTGCAATAGGCATTATGTCCCTTGGTGATAGAAATACGGATGAGTCGCCAGCAGCACCCTGTTTTTTGGAAAATTATCAATTATTTCTGTATCACTGTTGATTAAGCGAAACCTTTAAATACATCTTCAAAATTTAAGCTTCGAACGACTAACAGAAATCGTTTTTAAGTCGAACATATCCATGTTCAAAGAGAAAATTGCTTATCTACACGACAGAATCACCGAGAGGCAAGAGGAAAGCAGGCAGGCGTCTTGACAGGTAAAGAAATCGCACGTCCGACGGTTCCTTCTTTTGCCTCGGGCTCTTGTAATTTTGAGAAAAACAGATTCATATTTACAGAAATATATGTAAAACTCTTGACTAAAGTAGATGGGGCATAAGTTTTTATAGGTTTCTCCGCATTATTTAAGTTGGAGAGAGTTTTTAAATAGATTCCCTTATTTTTATCTTCACATTGCATTCGGTTTAATTTCTCAGGCTAGACCTGTATTTCTAAACCAGTAAAAGCGTTGAGAAGGGAATAAAATGCATTCTCTTCTTTGGAGGAGCCTTTTCAAAAATTTCGAAATTCCTTCTTATTTTAACGCTGGTGACTCGTCTATCTTTCTAAAACCAAGATTTGTCAAGCCGACAATCCAATGGAATTAATCTAATTGGAAATGGTGAATGCTGAGTACTCTACGTAGAAGAAAAATTTCAAGCCAAATTTGCATATTTCAAGTTCTAAAATAAAAATTAAAAAAATTTATAAAATTTTTTTCAATGTCTTATTTTATGTAATGGCGTCCTACGATTTTCGTAAGTTTATTGTTTATTGTTTTTTCCAAATATTTTTTTCGATAGTCGTTCGTTATCACTTATCACTTTCAAATTCCAATATTTTTATGGTGATAATAAAGAGGAATATGAACAATGGAATGAATAGTTCGAGCATAACATAATTTAATAAAAATATACATTATCTTTTTTAAGATTTTTCGATTTTTTTCAAATTTATGATTTTCTTACTTTAATAAAGAATGGGATTAAAAAAGTAAAACATAGGATTTTTCACTTTTTTAGAAATATTCCATGCAAAATTCATTTTAGAAGAACTGTCAAAGTACAAATGGCTTAGCTTCCATCAGAAACATTTTCTTACTGATAATATTGGTGATGATGAATCAATTACAAGCTTATGTGTGCTCGAAAGAGCTAATGCGTTGGATCAATTTGTCTTTGAATTTGAATTTTTATCACTTTTTGTTTTTTTCAAATCGAATTGCTGATTTGTAGCTGAAAATTTGTACAATAGAAGTCAAATATTCTAATAGTATAGAGTACAGCTTTCGTCGTTTCTGGTTTCTGGTACCACTGGGACGGGACCGAACATTTTAAAGCCTTCAGCTTTCTTAAACTCATTTCTACTTTTTGACTACTTGACTATTTTTATTTCTACTTAAACTTATTTTGCGAATGGTTTGGCGAAGAAATTCTTAAGCGGGGAACTGCATTTTTGGATTTTTAATTTAAGCATAAGAATAAGTCGTGCAGAGATACTTATCAGAGATATTTTTATCATTTTTATGATGATAGCATAAATGTAAACACGTTGATATGTTATAAATAAGTTCTTTTAAATGAAAGCATATTATAGTATCGAAAAAGAGGTGGTTCACGACGTATTTCAACATTCATCAACGAACCGTATGAGAAAGTTTTAAAAGACATTAGAGATGTGGTTCATCGGTAGTTCGCTTTTTTCTCCATTAAAATTTGTTGCTCGTCATCGGGGACCGTCTCGAGTATCCTTCTTTGTTCGTTAATATAGTTCGGAGATTCTTAACTTGTTTGCTAATCTGATAAATGTGCCTTCCATCTGCAAATAATGTTTTAGTAGTGAGGTGAATATAGAGGATTAAGGTGGAAGAATAATTTAAAATAAAGAAAATAAAAATGCTTGTGGTTCGTCTCGGCGAACAAGTAGTAGTTGGTATAAAAATTTCTGTATTTCACTGAACGCTAAACTTATTTTACTGAACAGATTGAGCAGATCTGATGGAGAACCATGAACTGGTTATTGAAATTTTTTAGTGCAGATTTTCTAGATTTTCTATAAAATTATTCTATCGAAAGAGGTGAGAAATTTGAACAAAGTAGTCGCCTTGCAAACCGATAGAAATGAATTCCATTAAATTTTTACAGATTCTGATTCTCAGCCAAAAATTTTTAAAATTTTAATTTTTAAAATTGTGAAATGACAGCAATGTTTTCTTACAATTTGACCAAAATTATTTTCGTTTTAGCGAAAAACTCCATAATTCGCGTAAAAAAATCGAACTACCGAATATTTATCGATTTCAGGAATATAATTTGGTATAATTTAGAATATTTAGAATATAATTTTATTAGAAACCAAGCAAAAAAATTTATTGAATTCCTCTTCAAAGGATGATTCGCGGGTAAATAGCATATATATATATATATATATATAACTGCGAACACTTACTTTTATTTCTCAAAGTCTGTCTTGAGAAATTCCTCTATTGAATTCCTCTTCAAAGGATGATTCGCGGGTAAATAGCATATATATATATATATATATAACTGCGAACACTTACTTTTATTTCTCAAAGTCTGTCTTGAGAAATTCATCGAAAAGTGAAGTGCTAGAAATCAGATTCATGAATCGCCATTAACAATTGGTTTCGTGTCGTGGCCAACCAGTTTTATTCATAAAATCTTAGTTCAGGAAAAGCAGCGCATGGAACGATTTACTGGTCGTTTAATTATCTTAGTTGAATTTGGGAAACCCGTACATTTTATGCCTTGCAGAGAGAAAAGAAGCCGAAGCAAAAGTCCACGCCATCGGAGGTCATCTCGAGTATTTAATGAATGAAAATCGTTTTTCAACTCTTCTTGAATCTTACAAAGTTATGAATATTATTCTGCAATATTTAAAGCTATTATAAAAGAATCGCATTTTTTATTTATAAGTGGCATTAAGTTCACTCCAAGGGTAAACCATCGCGAAAAACGAAGGTGTTCATGCAATGACAGTGTGCCCTCTGCTTTTATTGAACTGTCATAGATTCGGTTCTTAACGGTTCTTAAACTTGTCGGATTAAAATGAAGTCCGGATGGCGATTGCTTTTGTGTTAAAACAACGGGAACTATAAAATTATATGATGGAAAAATTCTAATAGCTCTCACCATTACTGGTTAGGCTGCCTCCACTGGCTGCAGGGGTGAGATGCCTCCAAGCTGCTCTGTTCGACGCCATCACTAGTAGTAAGAAGTAGCTAGAAGCCATTCCTTTTTCCATCTTCTAAGTTTATTTATCGCCGGTCCCCCTACATGTTCAAATCTTTCCTGACAGTCCAGGTCTTGATCATGACGAAATACATAGCGAAATATATTTCATAAATTTAATACGTGCTTTTCTACCAAATTATTTTAAGAACCATAACTGAAAACTAATTAACCACGGTTCTATGAATCAGCCCAACCCAACCCGTCATTGTTATAGGCCGAGAGAGGCGAACTTCTTTTGCAAGAGTTATTTCTTAAATATAATTCTTTCATTTGTTCGCTGTGGTTTTTTCACTTTTACAATTCTTCTATCTTATGAAGGCATAGGTATGAGGGACCAGTCCGCAGTCTACGGTCAGGTAATTCTCTGACGAAGGAAGCTCGCTGCTAGCGAAGAAGCCGAGATAGTGTGGACTATTCTTAAATATTTTAGTGCTTTCTTCTTTGAAAATATAAAAATTCTTCCTTTCTTAGAACACTCATCATTTTTGATTAGGCTGGATCTGCCGCTCTATCGATTCAGATAAACGAGGTGTCGTGGATTTCGCCACGAATCTATCCGCAAAAGATGACCTTCATAGATCAGATAAACCATTTTCTTACACAATGATGTTGTATGTATGTGGACGACCCTTAAAAATGACCCTTAACTTATCGATTTAGAACTTCCATATAAAAATTGAAAAGTCAGTTAAAAGTTTGCTGTGTATATTGTAGTTTTAGTTTTTAAGCATGCGATTGTCGCGAACTGATTTTTTTCCTTTCATCATCCAACATCAAATCTATTCAACAATTCAATAATGGTCGAATAAACCTCGTTCCCTGATAGTTTTCTGCATTGTTATTAATGGTGTTTACTATATTAACCATTGTACCTCAGCGATTAGATCTCGGAAGCCTGCAACAGAGATGTTTGAGTTTAAAGTTTGTATTTTTGTTGGGAAGGCTGACACGGAATTAATTGGCGGTCACGAAATGCGAAAAAAGGCTACGATGGTGTCGTAAAAATGCAAAATAGATTCGAACCAGCAGTTTGCCTTATCAAAGAGTTACATATCAATCAATGGAGGATCAATGAGGAGAAGGTGGTTTTGCTTAAAATAGAGGGGTGCGTCGAAGTTAATATTATGCCAAATATCAGCATAAAAAATTCGAATATATAAGAAGAGGATGGTATCCATTAAAAAAGCAGAAGAGTAACTGGACAAAAAGCAGATACGAAAGATGATACGATGGCGATGTCGATGAATGGCGGAGATAATGAAGGAGATAAGAAGAAGGAGAAAACCTGCGAGCGGAGTCCAAAAATAGATGAAGAGCCGAATTCTTTTTGTTTTCCCAATCGAGAAAAGCGTGATGCGCCGGGCCGGCCGATTTCGAACCTAATCCCGATATACTGCAACAGTATTGTCACTAGAGGAGCTTCTCTGGCTATTACTTGCGCAAAATGAAATGGTAATCTGTAAGAAACGTAAAAGTAATTTCTAAGAGAGTAGTTAAAGATTAAAGATTGGAGCGATTTCGGCTCAACCGTTAAAAGTTCTTTCCAGGCACCGCATTTTTTTCGCTCGGATTTTCCTCGGGTTTTTGGAATACAATGGTCTAGTGCTGTCTGAAGTGGAAGAGGGAGTAGTCGCGATGAGAGCACCAACCCATTCAATGGGCCATTCTACAAATAAATTAAATGGATACAGGACTGGTCATTTTCAGTTTTTAAAATTTTTATTTATCGTCATTCTGGCGAAGCTTGTCCAGTTTCTATTCAGCTGCGTTATCTCATCTTTATGCAAAAATTTAATGAATGGGCAAGCGAAATGCAAGTAATCCGAACAAAGTCATTTCAGCATTTATTTTTAGTATTACAGATTATGTTTCAATTACTTCCACTTAATAATAAAAATAATAATAAAATTCAGGTTAGGACACTTTTTATGATTAAGGAAAACTTGGCTGCTAACAGAGAATAGAGAACAGCCTTTTCCTCACCTATATTTCCTAACTCTGCTAAATCAATTGAAAATTTTCAAAAGTGTCAAATCCTATCAAAAAATAGGGCTGAAAATTCAAAATTAAAACATTTCAGCGAACTCATTTTAAACGATCCTCCTTCTTCAACTTTACAGTTTTTCCAAGAAACTAAATATTGGCCACCTCGTACGCATTAAGAAAATTTTTTCCCATTCATATTTTTCACTATTTACTCTCTTTTACTCTCTTCCATCACCTTGTAATTTCCTCACTTTTCCCATATAACCCCATAGTCCATTCTTTTATCACTCTCTTATCACTATATTGCTACCACGTGAAATGGAATGTGACTAAAGAAACAAAATATACAAATTACAAAAATTTCACAATCAAAAAAGTTTCAAATTTCAAAATCAAAAACAAAAAAATTGAATTAAACGGCACCCGAGAACGAACCACGATTCGCGTCAAAACTCAAACTCTCACGTTTGAATCGGATAGTTGAGGGTTTGTTGACAATTTTGTTTTGAAGCCGATTAGCAAATGACAGTAAATTTATTCGTCAATAATTTGCCGATTTGTAATTTTTTCATATAGAATAAAAAATTATCTATCGCTATTTTGCGACGAGAGTTAATCTACCATAAATGAAATTCGTATGGTGCTTAGGATTCATCTGACGCCGTCACTACAATTCAAATAATTCAAATAATTCGATGACAAAACGACCATAAGACGCTCATCATCAGAAGTAGCGAATTCTGTTAGGGGTTATCATACAAAAGAATTGATGCAAAATTTATATGAATCCATGAACCATTTTATTGCAGTTAACATGAGCAGCATTTTAAAAATCGGAAAAAGAGTAAAAGAATTTTCAAATCGCAAAAGATGACGAGGCGAATAAACAGATCACGACCTACGACTAGGAAGAGGACATGATTTATAAGAAATAAGTAGTAGGTAATGGTTTGGTTCGATCTATGAGGAAATAAGTATAAATAAATAATCAAAACCACATGAATGGCAGATTTAAAGGATGATATGTCGAATGATAAATTAATCTATATAAACAATAAGCAAGTTTTAAAAACATTCGACAAGAGAAATTTTTGAAAATAAAAAAATATGACAAAATATTGGGAAAGCAGTGAAGCGAATATAATTAGTTCGCAGAAACAAGGAAAAATTATAATTGTATTTAAAAATTTTTAAATCATTCAAAGATAAAAAACTTATTGCTTATTGCCTATGACATAGTGGCTTCATGGTTATCGAAGAATAAAAACTGAACTGATTTTAATTCGAAATATAAAAAGAAAAATAAAAATGCAAATATATGACACAAAGAAATTGAGAAGACAAAAAAATCATCGTAGAAATAAGAGAAATAAGTTTTAAGCATTAGTTGTAAAGCCATTCTGTCGTGCAATATAAGCGTTAAACAAATCAATCTCTTTTCGCTCTTTTGCATCATTACGATTTTGGAATTCCAAACTGAAAAATTAAAACGTTAAATCAAAAATATATTTGAAAAATTTATAATTAAGCACTTATATGGCGATGTTTCCATCGATTTCACTAATAATTTTCCTTTTTTTTTCATCCAAGAGGATTGAAAATGGATAAATTTTTTCGTAACAGGTTGCTCCAAATCTCTCTCCTAATTCATACCTGCGTTTTCATTGACTATAAGGATGAAAATTCAAATCACCAAAGATGATAAATAATGATAATTCAAATCAGTGATGAAATCGTAATTGATAATCAAAAAATGATCGATTAGTTCAAAAGTTCAGAAATCGTATTACCGATGATCAATGATTCTTTTAATAATTTTTTCTGTAGTCATATCACTACCAGAATCGATTAAACGAAAAATACCCATCTCCTTTGGTATTTTGAATGGATCATACAAGGAATCATCATATGTTTTCTTTATACCATTCGCTACCACCTATAAAATTGCCCTTTTATCATTAGCACAATAATTTTCAAAAAGGGGCTTCGAATAAACCTTAGAACAACTCATAGAACAAATTTACCTTTAAAATCTTGCCGAAAAGCCTAACATCTATATAATCAAATCAAAATTTACTTCAAAAATAATCATAAAAAAATCGTGAAAAATCAAATAATTAGTTTATTTTTTTTTGTTTCATTAACCTGAATATTGAACCGTGTGATGAGATCCTTTGTCACATGAAATGGTGCACCAATGATAACTTCGTCAACCGGCTGGAAGAGTTAACATTAACTTTACTATTTAAAAAACGCCAACATTAATTTTATCTAAATATATTTATTTTCAATATGCCACTACAAAATCAAAAAAATTTAAGGAAAGAAAGCTGAAAAATGGCAATAAATATGGTACATAATTTGCTCCGATTAAATTGTTTGCCTAACAAAGCAGTAAAACCCTGAATTAATATCATAAAGATTATTAGAATACAACGTAAACTTTTAAATAAAAAATCACTTTGTAAGCAAGAACGCTTAAAACTCGTTCATGTAGTGTCATTATGGGATTATTACCACCAGTATATGAATTGACGACCTGAAATTAGCAACACATGGAGTTAAAAAAGGAATCAGACAAAATTTCAGGCAACAGTCTAGAATTTTGCATAATAACAAAAGAAGAAGTAAAAAGAGACACCTGATCTGAATGGATACCCACAATAAGATAATCACCAAGTTTGCGAGCTTCTTCAAGAAAACTGAGATGACCAATATGAAAAAGATCAAATGCGCCACAAACATAAACTACAGCATCATTGGGACCTGGGGTTCGTCCTTCAGAAAACTGCATAATAGCCTGAGTGGTTGGAAAAAAACGTGAAACTTTCGTCCAAGGTGAAATCGCTCCACCATCCTAAAACAAAGCAAAAAAGTTTTAAAATTCATTTTTTATAGCGTCGTATTATAGCGATTAGGCCTAATAGTTATAAATGAATCAATCTTTTCTTTTCTGTCAATAACAATAATAACTGGAACTGATGGGTTTTTTTAATTTCACAACCTGGTTCTCCTTAGATTATCAACTATGAGTGATAGTAACAATAGTAACGATAGTAACAAATAGTAACAATAGTAATTTATAAAGCTTGGGTTCTTACTCTATCCAAAGCGCTGACGTTGAGGTTCTACTCCTGCAGTAGTGTCCAAAAATCTTGCCAAAAATCCGGTTGATGATGGCGATTTAGCATATTTATCCAGTGTGACAAGTTAGTATAGCGAGTTTAACCAGTAATGGTGAGGCCACTTTTAAAAAAAAATTTACAACGCTTACAGTGGAAAGGAATTGTGCACTTTCTCGATTTTCTTCAATCCTATCATCGTTTGATGTGTGATGGCACTTTGTTAACAACAACATCCGTCCCACAAGATCCTGAAAAAAAATTATTTACTATAACCGTATTTTTACAATTTATAAAAGTTACAACTTTTAGTGGAAATTGGTGAACTGCTGTGGCTCAAAAATGTTTTCATTGCTTCAGGCTATATTTTGAAATAATTTTGGTTTTTTTATTGGCAACTTTGATTTTGGCAATATTTATTATTTTATTATTGAATCTTACCTTGAATCTTGAATCTTACCTCATAACTATGATAATAAAATAACAAACTGTGGTTGATATTCCAGCCGTACGTCGACATTCACGATAACGACCACAATTTTTAACTTCTTCGTACGTGTCAATACCATCGATCGTAACTGTTATATCGTCTATAATGAAAACAAGTGGTGGTTTACTTATCATTCTATCGAATTTTCGCTGATAAGAAAATTCCACCGTATATTTCAATTTTTAATCGCTTGAGTCAAATTTTAAGCCAAAAAATTGATGAAATAAATTTTCTAAACATTTACTTTAGTTTATAATAATAGCACTGAAGAATAGAAACTGCAGCAATATGGCCCTTCTCATTTAGGAGACAATAGGAAATAGTTTCGCCTTCATCAACTATGACTATGACTCGGGGAATGGACAGTGAATTGATATGGGATAGTAATAATGGGATAATGGGATAGCAAATGTCTATTAAAGCTATTATGAATCGCCTCACAAGGTGAAAGGAATTCTCTGAGAGCAAACTTAACCACAATACGCCATCTCTTATTCCGAAATCGCTCGTCGAGCCATAATTTTTCAAATGCAAATCGTTAGCGGAACAGGGAATAATCTGTAATCCAAAAATTTAAGACCAACAGAACTCCCGGAGAAAATGGTCTTCCGGCAACTTTTCAAATCGCCCATCGTCCATCATATCACACTTCAACAAATGTACTCTGGTATGGAAGAATGAAACAATGACCAGAAGATTAGAGCAAAGCCATACTGCTCTTAATTCCTAAGAAAGGGACAGGACATACTATGATAATTATCAAGGAATCAGCCCCTAGACATCTCCGAGAAAATTTTGCTTCCCTTTTACTCAACAGACTAATAGCATTTCGAGACAGCAGAATGTGCCCTAATCAAACTGGATTCAGATCGGGATGCGGTTGATTCACGTTAATAAGGGATATCGCTTCGAATATTTGTAACCCACTGTTACGTGTCATCGATTTTGCGACTGCCTTCGATTCAATTGATAGAACTGGTCTTTGGATGGTGATGAAATATTGCGGTGTTCAAGAGACAATCGTTCGACTAGCACTTGATTAGCCTGCATCGCCACAGGTTTATGTATATGGGGAACTGATAGACTCTTTCAAAATGAGAACTGGTGTCCATCAAGACTGCATCCTTTACAATATTCAACAAGAGATTTTAAATATCTTGGATCCACTCTAATCCCAAATGGCCGGATAAAAGACGAAAATTATCTAAACAACGGTGAAATAAAATCTTTATTGATAAAATCTTTATCGACTCGTCACAAAATCACTATAAAAACGAAAATCCGCGTCTATATAGCTGTGATCACTAAGCCTGATTTTGGCTGCAAGATATCACACATAACCGCATGTACCTTTGCTCAAATACCATTGTATTAATAGTACCATCATAGAGCGTCGCCTTCGCTGGTTAGGGCACGTTCTCGGCCAATCCACAATACATATTTCATATATTTCGTTATTTACTAAACCCTGTGATAGATAGCGTCAAAAATGAGGAGGTTAATCGAGACCTGGACTGGTCAGGACAGATTTTGAAAATATAGATGGACCAGCAATATATGAACTTAGACAATGGAAAAAAAAATGGCTTCTATTACTATCGACGACGGTTAAATAGTCTGGAAACATCTCATCTTTGTAGCCACTGGAGCCAGCCTAACCAGTAATGAGACCTGTTAGACGTTTATTTAACAAAAAAAAAGAAAAATAACCACCCAACATCGAAATTCTTATTTATTCACCATGAAAATGGATAATTGAATTATTGAGAAAAATGTTAACCTCCGTGAACACAGAAATCACAGCCAAATTTATCGAGAGTATTGACAGTCGTTACATAGGGTGCTGCTTCGACAACCTAAAATCTGATGCAAATCTTCGCTTGCAGTAAAATAGATACATATCTTTTATTGGGTTTTCAGAAAAGTTCGGTCAATTCTGTGCCGTTTAGAAGGCCAAAGCTTTTTTGAAAATCAATATTTTTATTCAAAATTAGTTACAATTAAACACATTTTTGCATGTAAGAGAAATGCATCTAATCGATTTGCGTTAAAAGTCCAAGCCTTTGGAACCAACGAAAGAAGAAATTTTCAAGTTCTCTTGTTTCTGAAAATATTTCTCCCTGAGAAAGAGAGCGGAAGAATTGAAAGATACTGAAGAAAAGTGCAGGAATATGGTAGGTGGAAGCTGGATTCAATATTCATTCAGCAAAATTTTTGCACTAGTAATATGTGTGGTACAGGATTACAGAATGAAGCTAAAGAAGCAAAAGTGTTTGACCCCGACGTGATTTGAACACGCAACCTTCTGATCTGGAGTCAGACGCGCTTGTCGAGTAGAATGATTGCTGACTGATAGGGTCGCTTAATGATCGAAGTTTCTGGAGACTATTTTTACTATATGATTTTGCTATAATCACTGCAATAGGCTAAGAAAATATAGCGAATCAATTTTCATATTATGGTTTCAAACTGATTTTTTACCATCCTATTATATATCAGTAACATCCAGTTCGAATTACGTTATTTTGGAACTCCTTTTTATTTCATCTTTATATTTTTAGCTTATCTCTAATTTCACTTTTTTTGTATTTTTATCACTAATTTTGTTCATTTGTTGTCCTATTTGTTGTTACTTTATAATTTTATTAACATAGCGCTCCTCGACCTGCTTGATTGATTTCAATAAGCAAAAAAACAAATAAATCCTGCAGCAGTCTGACCATAATTTCAAAATTTGGAAATTGTCTCATATAATTCCCATTCATAAAAAAGGAAGCACTTATGACCCTTCTAATTACAGGCCTATAAGCCTGCGTTGGTAGTAAAGTACCGGAAAGGTTGATTTTCAACAAGTTGCTTACTTATCTTGATATTTTATTTTCTGTTCGCTTAAGAAATTGAAGATTTTCTTATCAAAATGTACAAAGCGTTCGTTAGGCCACTTTTTGACTACAATATTACTTGTTACTCCCCGAGATATCACAAATCAAGTAAAATAATTGAAGGACACCGAAAATATTTTATACGACGCCTCTCTCTTAATAGTAATTTTAATTGTAAAAGAAAATTTCTACAAAACAACCTGGATTCTCTCTCAATTATGCAAGATTTAATTTATACTTATAAGGTTCTATATAGTTGTATTCAACTAAATTGTTCAAAATATAATGATTTTAGGCTAAATTTGAATCCAACAAAAACTAATGGGCTAAATCACTAAAACCTATGCATAAAATTAAACTAAGGATTCATGATTTCGTTATTCGTACTATTAATTACAAGAATAAATTACGATATAGCTTGTGTGTCATTCCTAACTATCTTTAAAAAAAGATTAGATAATACCATTTATGATATTATTTAAAAAGTTCACATCATGCAGGAAGTGTGAAATCTCGATTTTACTATCCAATCACATATCATATAATACAGTTACTTCGAGTTATACTATATTATATTATTTTGCAATTTTCTCTTCATTTCCTTTTTAAATTATTAATTTTATGTCATGTTTTCTTTTTATTTTTTATTATTAATTAATTTTTATCATTATTATTATTTGTTATTTTAACCGTTGTTATTACTACAAGCACATGGCGTTTGTCGCCCTGCTTGGGTGGTTTTCAATAAATAAATATTGCAGCAGATGACAAAACAATGACCATAGACTTTTTCAAGCCGAGATTTTTTTTCAGATTTTGAAATGGATGAGGTTTATTCTTGTCCAATCATTGCGCCAATATTTTTCTGTTACTGTAAAAACCAACTTTTTATCGCAAGGGAAAAAGACATTCCAGAAATTGCAGAAAAAGATTCCAGAAATGGGTCATTTTTGAGCGGTGTTAACATTTCAAAGGAGCTTCATCTGGGCTCAGTGAATTTATAAGGAATTCATCAAGCTTTTTCTTCTCCACTGCATACAGATGGTTGCACACGGAATGAAACAAGATGTTCCTTCCAGAAGCAGTCGGCATTTTCAAAGATTTAGCTGCAGAATCTAAGGACCGTTTGCAAAGTAGGGAAGTTCGAGATCAATACTTTGAATTGCAAGAAACATTTTTGTTTAACTATTCTTTTTTTAGGAATAATGCCAGCTATATTACGAGCTGGCTTCGCCGTTCGATGTACCAAATTCTTCTAATGCCAGGAATCGAAAATTACGCCTTTTCAGAATATCAAAACTGATGGACTAAACCAAAGAAAATTAAATGGTCATTTGTTCTAGAACAACAAGAAACCAGCAATAACAGTGGGCTATATATGATATATTAACCCACGAAAGTGTACGGCCTTAAAGCCAAAAACAATAAGAATGCTCGAACTTTTGTTATGATCATCACATGGATTTTACCTCATCCACCCATTTTATTCCTCGAACCATTCGATATCGTTCTTCTTGAGTGAAGACTGGTGGACCTTTATGCAATTTGATCTCCTCATCAGTGTGAACACCAACCATCAAATAATTTCCCATTTGTTTCGCTTGTCTTAATTGATTTGCATGTCCAAAGTGCACCATATCATAACTAAGAATAAATAACTATAATAATAAATAACTAAGAATGATATATAAAAGAATGATACATAAGAATGATATATGAAATCCATGTGAGTAGAGATTTAATAGCATTAAATGAGGCAAAGATTTAAAACAATTTGGTATTAAAATGAATGAAATCCTACTTTATTATCTAACAGGAAATAGTATGGCTTACTAGATTATCATTACTAGCGACACGGCTCATTCCCGTGCTAAAAATAAATCTGTCCTTGAGAATCCGCGTACCTGCAGACTTGCAATTTTCATTGTAGTAGCCGGTGGGGAAAAGCAAAATAGAGATGCTGAGTAACACGAAACACTTACTATCTGATAACTTTACGATTACAATGCATAAATTCGAACATTAAATAAGTAGAACAATAAAGATATACCATCCATCACACCACACTTTAACATATTTACTGACTTTCTTCGAGCGATCCATCAATTAAATTCCACCAAATTATTCTCGTTTATTGCACGAAAGTTGAGTTCAATTAGAAAATCTGAAAACAATAAATTAAAAGAAGTAAAAGCGATTTTATGAAAAATGACGATATTTAGCGAAAACTGAGTTTTTAGCTGAGTTAAATTCCGAAAGTTTCATGAAAAAATAATATTATTATATAGTGTTATCAATAATATTAATATTTAATAATATTATTATTAAAGCAATATTACTATAAGTAATATAGTAAAAGTAAAATTATTTTTAAAATAAGGGATAAAAATCCTCAACAAAATATATGAAAATTTTACTTATAAAAAGTATTTTCAGCTTTTTTATAATTTAACATTCATTTACATCGAACATCATTTTGTATTCCTTGAATAATTTATTGCATTTTCAATGGTAAAAATACATTTCAATGAATGAGATAAATTTGATTCATAGAAAAAAACTTTAAAAATTTGTTTCGATAAAAAATAGAGATCTCCAAAAAGAATAAAAAAGTATCACTGTAATGTAATAATTCAATATGCCAAAACTCTATAATTTCAAAAACAAATTTTAAATAAATAAAATAAAATATACTTAAAATAAATGATTAGTCAGATGGATATTTCCTAAATAGTAAATATTCTTTAAAAATCCTTTATTCTTGTGTCTGAACTTATTGCAAGAGAGCAGGAAAAAGGCAGTAAAATAAAGGCAATGTGTGGGCCAGAATCCGTATCACAGCTTTTAAAACTAAACGGTTCGACTAAAGCGAAAACCAATTTATAATTGCAGATTATCATAAAAGTTCTTTCTTGTGAGGTGAAATGGATTGGTGGACTGCTGCTCTCAATTCTGGGCGCCGATGCTTGAACTCCGACTCTCTACTCCGACAACTTGCCTTGCCTTAACTTGCCTTCTAAAAATGCGGATGCTGGTGAACGAAGCTTATCTTTGCCCAGCAAAACTTATCTGGAAGACTTAACGAGCGCGCTAATTTCCACTTATTTGCCCGCAGCCAGAGGCCATTGCAACCATCTCCATTTACATCGAAAAATTTAAAAGGAATTTTAAATAAGTATAAAATAAAATAATTTTATAAAATAAAATAAAATTCCGGCATCTGCTTGAAAAAATTACGAAAAGTTATAAATGAATTATTTGCTTTAAGAAAAAATATATATTTAAAAAGAAATTATCAATTCTTTTCCATTTGAAAACAAAATAGAAATCCAAAAAAAATTAAACAATAATTATAATTTTTTCTTTTCTCTTCGAAGTTTTATCGCTAATTGAAATGAAAAATAGAAAAATTACTCGATTATTCGAAATATAGGAAGAAATATGGAAAAAATATAATCCAATAAAATCATTAAGACGCTTGACACTCAATAAATAAATTGCTTAGAGGATACAGAAGGGAGCAGCACTGCCGAGTGCTGGTGCTTATTTTGTTATAGATTGTCGTCTCAAATTAGACTGCACCACAGTTCGAAGCCCACCCCTGTCGTTAAAAAATCCGAGGACTCATTTGCATTCCCAAGTGACTCTCTTACCCTCTCACTCTCATCATTCTTATATAATTAATTGCAAATTGTTTCAAGCTAATAGCCAGTAGAACAAACCTAAGAAAAATACTGCTTATGTTCAAGCACAAACATAGCAATAAATGCAAATGTATGATCGCTTCAGATTTTTTTAAAGAGTACTCACCACTGCTTGTTGTGCTAGACAAATATTTCTCGACGGAGTTCCTTGGCGATAGAAATACAGCTGAGCTGCCAGCATCAGCCGAATTTTTGAAAGATTTTAAGGTTTACTCCGGCCGAGAACCTCAGTGTCAGGGCTTTTTAAGTTAAGCAACAATCCTTCCTACTGTTTTCGCCATTCGGCAACAGTGCCAGTTGACGACGCGTGGCGTAGTGCCGGATTGGAATCCAAGCCCCTATTCTCGGTGGCAATTATCTTGCCACTGAGCCACCGATTTCATTAAAATTAATAACTCTAAATAATTATTTATGTAGCTGGGATCATCGAATGGCATATTTGCTTCGATGTCGAGTCTACGTCGAGCGCCAGAGGTGCAGCCCAGTCCCATAAAGACCATCCAGCACTTCCATCACCAACTGACAGCGCTGCAAAATACTAACATACAACGCGTCTAGGACAGCTGACCAGCACTTTCTAAGTCGTCTAGAAGGACAAATAAAAATCGCGTAATCAAAAATAAATTTTCGAGTGGAAAAATCTGAACGATAAGAGAAATGAAGATAACGACGAAATAAAATTGATTTCAGTGCAACGCATAAATCATCGTCAAAATCATCGAAAGAAAACATATAGAGGCACAAATTTGCGAAATTTTCTATAGCTTAAACTCTACTTTGACGTTTACCTGGAAAAAAGTGGACTTCCTCAGCAGAGCTCGCGACGTGCATGCGACTCGAGTTGGATTCCACACATAATGCAAAGTGAAGAAAATACGAAGACGCACCACTCTAGAATTTCAAACATATAAGAAAACATAGGTAGGCGGTGGGAATCGAAAACTGCCTCGCTTGCGACGCGACTGAACTCTTCCCTTTCATGCACTTCCTTCGGCACGCAGTAAGACGAGGAGATACCGCAACTCGCCCTCGAAGTTTGCTTTGTTGCTGATCAAACCGAAAAAACAGCAAAGAAAAAAAACACGGGAAATTAAAAAATAAAATATTTAAAATAATGAATAATGAATTAAAAAACCAAACTTAATAAAAAAAATTGTCGAAACGAATTGTTTGAACCCCGCAGACCCTAAATGCACGATAAATATAATTTGTTCGCTATGTGTGCCGCCGTTGCGAAAAAAATCAATTCAAAGCTAAGGTCAAACCTTTCTGGTTTTCCAGTGCATTAAGGTCCATAATCAGTAAATTATTAGAAAAATTATTACACACATCCTGATTTTGTTTAGATTCATGCATTTATCAGTATGCTTAACATGTTAGTTATTTGATAACGCAGAAAAAGTCATCGTAAGAAAATCAACGGGGCTGGTTTGTTTACTAAAAATAAAATATGTAAACATCGCTCCACAAACATCGTCCGAATCCATCATTCAGAATGCTCAGAAGAAAATTCGAAATTTTTTAATTGCTCCGAGAATACAATAAACGGCCAAACTAGTAACGGGAATAACACAAAGTAACCATTTTGTTCCATTCCATTCCGTTCTATATCCCATTTACTAATGGTACAATTGATAGAAACTCGCCCCTTTTAAAATCAACTCGACGAAATGCCATAGTTTATTAAGCACTCAACAACATTAAATACTAAGAACTAATGACGAAAAAAAATTTCATATATCATAGATCGATGCTTTAAAAATTATTTTGACTTATAAAACAAGAAGAGAACCACCAGCATAGAACGATAAGAAATAAATTAATCCTAATATCCTACTGATAAACCAAATAAAAAGTAGAATATCACAGAACTTAAAATTCATTAATAAAGAATTCATTAATTCATTAATAAAGAACTATATAAGACAAAATCAAATATCAAAAATAAAATAATTATGCAAGAAGTAAGCTTTAAAAACCGAAAAAATGATACTTTTTGGCGACTCGATCCAAATTAACTTTGATGGTGAACAAATTAAGACCATAAGAGCTAATGATGCCCTGGTTTATAAGTTTATAAGGCTGTAGGTGCGAAATGGAAGGATAAAAGAAACTAATCGAAATTACTGATTATGAAATAATAGGAAACTAAACATAAAACTGAACAATATGGGAAATAGAAATGCAAAAGCATAATGCAAATAGGCGACCCTTGCACTGTCCTCATTTATTGTGAGTAGCTATCGAAAAGTACCGAAAATTGTAATGAAATGTTAAGCTTATAATATATTTCATTTTTTATTTAATTTTCACCATTTTCCATCGAAAAATCAAATTTGCGTTCACTAATCTCAATTAAGTAATTCGGCTCTTGCTACCCCATTTTAAGTGAAAGCAATATCTTTTCGATAGCGAGGGATATTTCTTTCTCCATTCGATATCGTGAATAGATTTTTTCGACACTTGTAACCATATTCTTTGAGGCAGCATAATTAGCAGCCTTAACAGGTTGCCTGAAAAATAATTAATGATAATGAAAATTCTTTCATATACCTGATTAGGATTTTATAAAATAATATAAAATCATCATTTTCTAAACATAATGTTCCACTGTGACCAAAATACGATATAAAATTTTTCGCTGAATTTTTTTGGAAATCACTACTAATAATGACGCAATCTAAAATCTAATAAAGAGGGCTAACTCAATTAGAAGCCAGCCTTCAACAATTTCTTCTGCTGAACTCAGCTTTGAAATATAATTTTCACATATCTGGTGTTCACCATAACGAGCACACGCCTCCACAAAAGGCTTGAAAATGAATGATAAATTTTACTATAGACATTCAGAACAAAAATGAAATTCTGTTCAAATTTTGTTTTTTAATAAATATGATATGATTCAATAGAAATATGAAATTCGATAAACTGATTAAAAAATATTAGATTAAAAAACTTGAAATTCTCCGACTATATTTTTCTATAATTAAAGCTGAAAAAATTTTTCATTGACAAAAAATAACTCGACAATTAAAAGGAAATCACCATGAAACCAAAAGGTAACTTTTTAGATAACGACAAAGCGTCAAGATGATTCCATTTTTTATAACTGGCATATGCTTCGATTTTCCAAAACACGCATCTATAAACAAGAAAAAATAATTCACCTTTTTCTCTTCAAGATTAATTAAGAAATTTTAAAAGAAAGAAAAAGAAGATAAAAAATAATAGGACAAAAAGCATAAAAAATATCCTTACTGTTTTTCGCTTAGTTTGAATGATTTTTTAAGTTGTTCCACAAGATAATCATCATTATTGCCAGCTGCCCAAATAAAAACAGAACGAACAGATGTTCTATCCACATTTTCACAATCCACTTTAGAATTCCAGTTCTCACATAAATGAAAAAAATTTATTGCTTCCGCTAGAATTTGAACACTTCCGCAGTCCTATGAATTCAAACAAAAAAAAAATAGGAGTATAATAACGCATGATGAAGAAAATGAACGCATAAAAATTCAGGAACAATTTGTACATGATTCTTCGATAAATATCAAATATGTCAACAATGTCAATAAATACCTTAATATTCTGCAAACATTTTTTCGCCTTTGATAATATATCTGTCTTATCTTTGATTTCGAAAGGATTCCAAGGTGTTATTTCGGACTCATCTAGTAAATATATCGCTTGCCGAATAAAGTCATCTTTTTGCACATAGAGAGCGTAAACATGAGGTGGTGCCTCTTCCTAAAAAAATTTTGAAAGAATATTTTCTTTTTGCTTTTCACAAATTTCGAAATTTGGTAAAAGTAAAAAGCAAATGGAAATGGAAATAAGCAAAATCTCATCCAATTTGAATAGTAGAAAAAGTAGTCAATGAGAAAAAAATATTAATTACACGAAGATAATCTTGATAGAGACACATAGCTTGCGGCAATTTTAATACCAAGTGATCGATAATTTCCTTTTTCTGTGTTCGTTTTAAATGGGACAATACAATATGTACTGAAAAGATTTACAATTTTTTGCAGCTAATTATGACATTTTTTCCAATCTATTTTATTTAATCTAAAGAACAAATATTTATAAACAGATTTTACAAATCAAAATAAATGGAAGTTTTGAAAAAAAACTTAATCAATAAATAATAAACTGCCTACAAAGATCTGGTTGTTGACTTTTAGCCGCTTTCGCAAGAGCTTTATCAACTTTGTTAAGCTTTAAAAGCATTTCAACTTGTCGATTTAATCGCGTCTCTTTTTCCAGCAATAACTCTGCCATTTCATTCAACCCAGCTTCCACTGCTTTCATAGCGACATCTGAAAATATAACAATTAAACCTTTTAAAGCATTTATATTATATGAAGGAAATGAAGTTTTAATACCAAAAACCATTACCAGCAAAACTGACTTCAGGATGATTGGCAAATTTATTTGCAATCAATTCAGTTAAAGTTGGAAAATCACAATCCTTACCACTCTCTTTATCCATTTTCACCTTTTCAATCTGGAAATTAATGAAAGAATTTTAAATTTATAACAGGGTTTAAAAAAGCATATTAAAACAAATTGAAAAAAGCAGAAAATCAATTTATGAAAACAAACTGTAATAAGATAGAAAATTCAAGAAACTTTCACGAAAAATATTTGAACGACCTTATTCACTGCCCAATGTGCCAAAACACGGTGAACACCATCTCGGATAGGAATTTTCATATAATCACATATGGATATGGCCAATGGCCAATGCTCCATATCGATAAGACGATCAATTAGAGTACGCATTTTGAGTTCACTAGACCTAAGTTTTTGGTGATTCAAATTCTTTTCGTTAATTTGCTGAATTATTAAGGAAAAAATTTATTATATTTGAGATTACATATTATATATGAAACCCATTCTTTGGAATATTTCACAAACAATAACTAATTTTTAAAATAACTAACTGCGGAAATGAGAGACTAAAACCAATATGAGGCTGTCGAATAAAATTAAGGACCCGTATGACGCGACATATATCAACAAACTGGGAAGTGTCCTGCCGCCGTAAAAGAGACTTCCCCAATGAAGCCGCCTAAAAGCATATTATATTTGATATATTATGTAAATATATCATGGAAATCATAAGCAGAAAAACGATACCTTCAAAAGTTTCTTTTGAGACTCAGGACTGAATTGATGGGCAGCAGCAATAAGACATTGTTGATAAGCTTTATCCATATTATCTTCTCAAAACAAATTTTACTTTACCAAAAAATACTCCAATCAAAAGTAATACAAGATTTAAAAATTATTTCGAAAAACATCTCAAAACCATTCACCTATTAAGTTCAAGTATTCATAAACACCAGGAGTGCCTTTTTCCAATTTTTGAGAAGCTTCATATAAAATTGCACCAGCTTCAGTAGAAGCAATTCCAATTACATCAACAAGTTCATCTAAAATAATATCTTTTTTTTTAAATAAGTGACCAATAAACTTTATTTTTTTTATTAAGTTAATTTCAGTTGCTGTGATCATCATCTAAGTTAAAAAAAACCAAATTTTGCATTAATGACCATAATCATATTCATATTCACGAAATAATTTTTAAATTAAAAAATACCAGGAACGCAAGAAATAAAGATCAGTTCATTTCGAGTAAATACTTTGATTCCATCAAGTTCTGTATCTATTCTTATATCACTAGTATAATCAAATCTGTAAGATGAAGCAAGTTGATTTTCGATTTTATGTGGGAGAACAGAAAAAATGTAAGAAAAAAATGAAAGATGAATGCTTACACATGAGCTACCGATGACGAAGAAATTATTTTCAATGAATTCTGTGTTTCCATGACTGCGATCGCATTTGATCCACACCTATAATTTTATTAAATATAAAATTATCGCAAAATATTACCTAAAAAAAATATTTCTCTTTATTGAGATGAGATAAAGAATAAACATTGTCAAGAATCTTGAAAAATCTTGAACAAAAACTTACCATAAGAGCTTCGATGAAAAAGATGTAGAGGATAAAACGATAGTAGAGATTAACGTTAAATCTGAATTAACAAGTTGTACTAATCCAGAAGAATGGACAAATGCTATTCTCGTATAATCCCAATTAGGTACGACCTCGATATATTCGCCACCACTTAGTTTCCAAGATATATTCTAAAATCTATGAAATCTGCAATTCAGTACTCACTAATAAAAACATGATATAAAAAACATAATAAAAACATGAATTCCTATATTCACGAAAGAACAAAACTAAGAGCAATAATGCAACGCCTTGCATAGCAGCATAAAAATCATCGCCATAAATAAGTAAAATTGTTGTTTGACCAGAAGTTGATAAAAGCACAGTCCATGCTGAAGGTCGATCTGCTCCTTTAAAAACAATAAAATTAGAATAAATTGCGAGATTAGATGAAAAAATTATTGCACACAGCGATACAAGAAACAAATATTAGTTCATTTAGAGCAAATATTTTGATTCCATCAAGTTTTATTTTTCACTTATAATATAAAATATATAAATAAACGAGAAATATCGCGAATCCTCCAAGGCACAGCCTCAATGACAGAATTAAGGGCGAATATATGGCCATTTTCTGTTAATACAGCCAAACCGGTGTTTCCCATTATGCCATAAAAAATACGAGAATCAATGACTTTTAAATCCTAAAATTAATTGAACTCCTAATCTAATTTCTTAAATAAATGTCAAGGAACTTTACTGCATTCATAAAACAGTAGAAATAATATCGAAAAGATAAATATACCAAATATTACTTTACCTTGTCAATTGCGAACTGGTTTAACAATTTTCCGCGTGGACTATAAACAAAGATTTGACCTATTTTACCCACTATTACGAGCTAAAAAAAAAAGCAAAAAATACGTTAATATATTATTGTGTTATTATAAATTAAGAAAAACAAACTAGCATTTGCCCTGATGAGTTATACAAATTATATAAAATAAAATAAACATGAATTATAAATAAAATTAAAACATAATAAAATTTTAAATTTTAAAATTTTAAAATTAACCCGGTGGCATCTCGTCCAGTATAATTCAGAAAGATTTGCAACCTTTAAAGTCGACAGTATATAACCAGAACAAGTACAAATCACTAATGTCCATAGGGAACCGGATGAATTGAGATTTGCTATAGCTATAATCATTCGAAAAGTGAGCATAGAAAAATTTCACATAAAAACATTAGTGATTTAATACAAGAATTTTTTCAAAAAGCAAGAATTTTACCATAATGCATATAAGTAGATTTCCTTTATTTCTTTTTATTTCATTTCATTTCATTTTCTTTGTTTTTTTTTCTTTCAAGGCTTACTTTTATCATTATTTAAAGTGAATGGTATTTATTATTAATTATTATCATCACCATCATTATCATTATTATTATTAATTGTTAATAATTATTATAATTAACTATAATTTTATTTTTAATTATTTATTATTTTTATTATTATTTTTAATCATTTATTATTACCATAATTATTAATTATTATTATCAATTATTTATTCCTAATTATTATACTCCTTTACCAGTAATACTGTCATCATTATTATAATTATTACCAGTAATACTGTCATCATTATTATAATCATTAATTTTATTAATTATTATTTCGTTATTATTATTAATTATTATTATTATCACTACTTTATTATAATTGTATATTATTGTAATATTGTAATTACGATAATAATATTATTATTATTATATTATTATTGTTATCATTATTCATATTCTCCATATTTTATAACAAAAAATGTCTCTTTTATATACCTGTATTTTTAATTTATAATATTTTAAATTTTCATTCTCATTCTGGAACTTGAAAATCAACCAGTTTTATTTCTATTTCCAAGAAGTTTAATGATGATAAATTTAATTTGCCTGGCTATTAGCACATATTAATATCAAAGTGGTAAAGAGAACCATATGCAATAAAATTACTAAATCATAGATCGTAATTTTTTCATACGTCGCATTAACTATTGGAATAACCTGTCTGTTGATATATTTCTAAACCGTCTGAACATGACTTTAGAAATAAATTGAAATTATGCATATTTTTAACACACATATTCTCAGACCATTCTTCTTGTATATTAGTTCTTGGTAGTTTTCGCTCAAGTAATATTGCCAATATTTCTTTCATAAGATTCATTTCTCTGTTTTTTTCTAAATACCTTTTTTTTAAATTCTATTTTTGTTTTTATTATAGCATAAAACCTTACTCGCCATATTTTGTATTAATAAATAAAATATAAGAAACACAAACCAACTGGACCACCATAAGGTGAAGACGCAAGATGGGTTGATTTCTCGATTAAAAACCCGGTTTTCGAGAACAATTCATTGCTTCTATAAAATTATAAAATATACGAAAATATTCATTGTAGGAACATAACAAAATTAATTTATTAATTTATTTAATATAATTTCAAGCTTTGAGAAATTCAGTTAATAAACAAAAGGTTACCACTTTAAATTGCTGGCAACGAAAATTATAATTAAATCATCTAAAATGAAAAATGGGAAAAACTGTATTATCATTAGTTGTGAGATATTTCCACCCATCAAAAGACAATATATCGATACTACACTGATAATTATTTTTCTATCCTTTCCCCTTTCTCTTCATTCCTTCATTTATCATTTTTCTTTTATATTTTTTTTTATATCTGAGGGAGAACTATGGTGATATTACGACACATAATTTCGAATAGCCAAAAGATATTGAAATAGTAAAAGTAATCGAAATAGAAACGTAACCAAAATTTTTAATTGATCTATAAGTATCAACACAATACGATAATCCCCTCTTTTAAAAACATATTAAATATAAAAAACGAGTAAAAATCAAAAAATATCCTACAAAACAGAATAATATGATGCTGTTACATAATATCTCAATTACCGAGAAATGGGCCAATGGATAAAGCTAAAGTTTGTATAAAAATAATTTATATTAATAAAATTCAAACTAAATAATATAATATTCAAAAAAATCAAAATAAAAAAGAAACCTTATTTTTACTGGATCTAAAAAAATCCAGTCACTTGCGTCCATTTTTTCAGCTTTCTTTCAATACAATAGGTCATTCAACAATTTTTTTTAACTAAAACAATTTAACCAGTTAACCATTTCACCTTTTCCTTTGATTTAAAATATTATATTTAATAATATAATATATATATATTATATTTGTTTAAATATACCTAAATATACCTAAAAGTATTTTTACCAAAAAGGGATTATCTTAAAAATTTAACAATTTAATAAAGCTTAGTTTCAAACATATTACATTCATAAATCATATTCTTCAACTCTATACCAACATAACAAAATAATGGGGAATTACTTGATCTATGTTTTCTGCTAATTAAATTCTCTTCATGTATAAAAAATTTTTTATTCAGCACTTATAATTTAAATTTATCAACCTTTTAATTTTAGTAACCCTTTTTTCTTCCATTTCTACTATGCTCTTCAATGTTTCCTCATAATAAAATAAGAATATAGGGGTAAGCGAGAGAAAAACGGAACTAGACTTTATTTCTAATCCCCACTGCAATGATCTGGCAACACTGAAAGACCAGTGTGGACCAGATAATTATAAAGTAGAGCAAAAAAATAAGTAAATGTAAAATAAGTCAAATAATTAATCAATTTCATATGTTGCTGGAATTACAAGAATAAATATGGCGAAAGGAATACTTGAAAGGCATTCAAATTGTGCTTATTATTTTCTGGTTTATCTCGCTCTAATATTTATAAGGTCGATATTCTTATGTTAAACATCCACTTAGAAACAGTGAACGGTTTCCATTATCTAATAAGTTTACTTCCGTCAACAAACAAGAATTTAACTCATTAAATTTTGGTGAAAATAATATATCATTCCACTAATTTTTTTAATAGTACTCACCATTATTGGTTAAATTCGCTCCACTGACTTGTCAAGTTAGATAAATATGGCAGGAGCCCTTTGGCGACAGAAGTATAGGATCACCTGGATTTTTCTGAAAACAGGTTTACTACTGACAGGAGTAGAACCTCAGAATCGGCACTCCGAAACTGCTGAAACAACCCATTCGTTAGGCGACACTTCTGAAGTGTGGCACAACGGTCGGATTTGAACCCAAGCATCAACTTTCGGTGACAAAATTTTCTTGCCACTGACGCACCATGTCACCCCTTATTTTAAAAGAATTTTTGATGTTACATTGGCAAATGAAAAAAGCATAGAAAAAGGTTTATTTAGCGCGACAAATAATATATTTGACCCAAAGGAAGACAAAATATGAGACCCACGGAAATTGCATCCGACGAAACCACCCCATCCTACCAGCGCCTTCCAACAACTAAAAATACGGAATAATTCTCGTATAAAATATTTCATATATGTATACAGATATATATTCTTCCCGACATGGCATTTCACCCCGCCCCCTCTGGCCAATCTGGTCAGACTTTGGGCTGCGGGGAGGCATGTTGCAAAAATCTGACCGATGGATGGAAAACGAAGATTTAAGCGATTTATTTCGTCGTCATTGTTGTAAAAATATCGTTGTTTCCGGTTTTGCTTATCTCTGTGGATGCATTAAAAAGCATTTCACCGCTCGGCCGAAGCCAAAATCCAAAGTAGAAGGTTTTATTTGAATTTCAGTGGAGAATCAGACTTAAGTTAGAATAGTTTATTAGAGAATTAAGTTAGAATGGTTTCGAACGAATCAACATTTCAGCGTTACATAAGCAAATGAAAAATATCGAAAAATTCGATCAGATGAGGTCGTTCTCGTTCTCGCAGGTTTTGCCAAATACTGTGCGGAACAATGTACGTTGAGTGCACCAATGGTGCATCGATGGGTTTGTGCACTTTTTAACAATTTGCTCAGTGCCATTTCTTGCCATTTACTTCTCCAACGAGTGAGTTACAACTCATGTATTTTGTTAAAAATTTAACATAAAATGTTCATGGTAAAATATACATTAATATTATTTATTATTATTATCACACAGCATTATTTATTAAAAGTAAACGCTTAACGTAAAATATTTTTTTAAAATACTGAACCAATAAAATTCTATGCGGCAGCTGTTTCTTACTCTCTCGCCAGTGCCAAGTAAATAATATTTTCCACTCTATTTTCGATATTTTCAATAAATCTTCCTGACTGAGTAAATTCCGCGCCACCGAACTGCTTCGAGAAAGAAGTTGAAGTGAGAAGTTGAAGTGATGTAATAATTCCGTCACTGAGGATTCTTGTGGGCTGCGCTGTAACACTAAGTTTTTAAACATCCGATGGCAATTTTTTAAAATTTCTCTAGAGAGCCTCAGGTAATACTCAGCGCCTTTCGCGCAAATTTGTCGAAAGCATCTTGCATTCGCGGAATTTAGTGCAAAGCAAGGGACATGGTTGAGTCCTACGGTAGATTAGCAGCCATTGCAAGGGCGAAAGGTTTATATAACAGACAATACAATTTAACATAATAGTTAAGTGTAGCAAAAGAGGTTGAAGCGTTTGAGGAACTTATGCAGTTTCGAAAAGAGGCCGCAGAAGTATTTGGCAAATCACAGTGGAGCCCCTAACTATTATACTCTACGAATATGTTACTAATGAGTTAATGAGTTTGAGTGGAAGGGAAAGAAAGAGACTTTGGTGTTAAGAGGGTGTTTAGCATTTAGTATTTGGGAAGAGTTTTTGCAAAATACGGCGGTTTATTTTCGAATATGATGAGAATCGCACTGATTTAAATCATAAAATGTTCATGTGAAACTGGTGCAAAAATGCATTTTTATGTTAACGGTAACCATTTGATTTCTTCACAGTAATCCACCATTTACAATACTAACGCTGTGCAACGTTGCTATAAGAACAAATGCGAAATTTGGATATGATAAAAATGCGAAAGAATTAAGCCTTAAATACATTTTCAACTTGACTTTATCATTATTATCGTTATCACCATTTCCACTGCAAACAATCTATTTGTGTAGTCAAAATAAATGAGTTCAAACGAATACAGTAGTTGGAGTAATTGCTGGATTATAGATAATCGAACATGCTTGCACATAGCTTCCATTTGCAAGGTGGCGGCGAATATTCTAAAAATCACCCATTCTTTTATTCATTTAATTAATGTTTTTCTAAAATCTGAAGGAAAATTAATTCTATGAAATGAAAACAGTTTTATTATAGCTAATTAGTTTTAAAATTTCAATATTGAATACTTCTTTAAAAATTTCAATTTTTATAAATTTTTCACAATTTGAAATTTGAAACCTTCGTGATCTTTAAACGATTAGTAGACAAGATTTTATACTTATCAATAACGACCCACTTTACTATCAAAACAATTCGTATGTTCAAGATAGTAGTGGTGTGTTGAGCAGAAATACATGCAACGTTTCATTCTGCCATGGAAGCAGGGATCGGACCAACGGTACTTGAAGTGAATCGAGTCAACGTGGAACACGAGAGGTGTTTAGAATCACCTGTATTTCTACTCCTCTCGCTTTAACCATGGTAGGCAGTGAGTGCTACTAGACGAAGATGAATTTACATTTATATTTATACATTTACGTTTACATCTATATATATATATATATTCTAAGATATTGATTGTATTTTAAATTTCAAAAAAATTATTAAAAAATAAAAAATTTCGAAACATAAAGTAAGTTTCCACTTTTTTGCCAAATTCAAGTTTGAAAAAAAAATTGTACGTGATCGGTGGAATCTGAACTGTAGCGGCACGAACTGATTTTGATAACTATCACGTGCTAATAAACTGCGCACAAAGGTGTCGGTCTTAAAAATTCCTTCTTTTAACAGAGTAAAGAGTGAAAAATTTATGGTAAATACATACAATAAAAACTAGTAGTAACCAGTAGTATCCAGTGTTTGAAATAAAAATGGATAGAATATCTCATCATATCACTAGAAGCTCGGACATTTTAAGTCCATTTCAAGTTTATTAATTAACACGAACGTATTCTCAATGCATTTTGTTACTCGTTTGTTATATTCAGACTTTACTAAAATATTATTTAGTTGTCGAGTTAAGTAAAAAGGAAATTACGAGGAACAATTTTTTTCCAAATTTTTCAAATGATTATTGTACTGTGAATATTTTATGCTATTGTTATTAATACGAGCGCATGACACTGTTGATTATCTTCTAAAATTCTAAAAAATTCTTGTGGTGCATCTCATCCCATACATGTGAAAAATCTTCCTTTGTCACCTTAATTCTTAATTTTTGTGAAAATGAGTTTAAAATTTTTTTACACATTTACACCTTTCATTGTTATTGGAGGGTTCAGAAGACAAAACCTAAAAATTCAATTTCACT